GCGCAGGCAGGAGGTGTGGGACGCGATCGGAGCCTCGAAGGACGGCAAGGTGGCCAAGAGCCTCACCGCCCTCGCCGCCGCCTCCTCCTCGCGCGCCGACGCGCTCACCGCGCGCGTCGAGCTGCGGCGGCGCCTCTCGCCGCACCTGCCCGCCTCGGCGCTGCCGCCGGCCGAGCCAAGTCGCCGGGTCGGCGAGCCGCGCCCCTTCACGGCCCTCTGTGCGCGAGCAGGCGCTTCCGCTGGTCGAGTCGATGGCCTCGAGGCCTGGCATGCTCCTCGCGAGCAGCAGCACCGCAAAGTGCCTCCTCGAGCGGGTGGCGGCCCTCGTCGACCAGTCCCTCGGCGCGGGCGGCGGCAGCCTCCCCGAGCTCGCGCTGCTCATCGACGTGACGAGCGTCTTCCCCGAGGTTACCCGAGATTAACCGAGATTAACCGAGATCGACGTGACGAGCGTCTTCCCCGAGGTTACCCCTCGCGCCCCCCCCCCCCTCCCTCATCCCACCGCCAACGCACACACACACACACACACGCACACACGCACACACGCACACGCACACATCCCGGCTTCCCCCGGCCCAGGTGCTCGGCAAGGGCGGCGCCAAGCTCGTCGAGGTGCTCTCAGCCGCGTGCGGCAGCGCCGAGGTGGACGGCGCCGTCGTGTGCGACCTGCTCCGCGTCGTGCACAACGTCTCCGCGCAGCTGGCGAGCGAGGCGCCAAACGTGCGCCGGCCGCTCGTCGCGCTGCTCTGCCAAAAGTGCTGCGGCAAGGACGTCGAGGCTGGCCGCCTCGCCGCCGCGTGCCTCACCACCTCGGTGCTGCTGCCTGCGCTGCGCGACAAGACCTTCGAGACGCTCGCGACCAAGCTCGCCGCCTCGCTCAAGGGCCGCGCCGGCCCGCAGCAGCACACCGCCCTCGCCGCGCTCGCCGTCTTCGCCAAGCGGCTGCCGGCGGGGCTCGGCGACGAGCGCGCGGCGATGCTGAGCGACGTGCGCTCCGAGCTGGTCGAGGCGTTGACGAGCACTACCGGCGCCGCCCTCACCGCAAAGTGCGAGTCGCAGCGGCGCGGCGTCAAGCTGCTCGCCAACGAGCTCCTCGGCGCCGACGCGGCGGCGGGCAAGTCGGAGCTCGAGGGCGACGCGGAGGAGGGGACGCTCGTCGTGCCCGGCGAGGGGGCGGCTCGCGCGCGCGCCGTCTTCGAGCTGCTCGTGCGGATCCTCGAGGCGGGCGGCGCCTTCGGCCCCTCGCGCGGCGCGCCGGCGGAGGAGCAGGCGGCGCTGCGGCTGGAGGCCGGCTGTGCGCTGCTCGCCCTCGCGCGGACGCGTTCGCTGTCGGTCACGTCGGTGATGGGGCCGGAGCGGTGGCACCGGCTGGGCGACTGCATGCAGGACGAGGACCCGGACGTGCGCGCCAAGTACGCGCTGAAGGTGTGTGGGTCGCCGCACGCGCCAGCCCCCTCCCGCCGCCGCCACAGCGCGCGACCGTTCCCGGGCCGGTTCCCCGGAGCGTGAGAGGCCTCCTCCCTCTCAGGTGTACCGCGAGCTGATGCGCCCCTTCAACGCGCGCAAGACGATGGCAGCCTCGGGCGCGCCCACGCCGTACCTCGTCTTCCGCAAGAGCGGGCTGCCGCCGCGCTTCTGCCCGCTCCTCGCGCTGGCGGCGCTCGACGCAAACAAGGCCAACGCGAGCCTCGCAAAGAACTACCTGACGTCGATGTGCAGGCGGCTGCGCCACTGCGCAGAGGCGCCTCGAGCCCGAGGGCCAGTGCGCGAGCCGTGGCACAGGTTGTGAGGGGCGTGACACGGCTGCTGTAGGAGCTCAAGCAGCCGCACGTGATGCCCGAGGCACAGCTGCCGTGGCTGGTGCGCACTGCAGACCCCGCGCGCGCCACGAGCACGCCACAGCTCGCGGAATGAGCGTGTGGCCGTTGCTGTTAGGTCCACTTGCTCGCGCACCACGCGCACTTTGAGGAGGAGTACGAGGAGGACCCTTGCCTCCCCACCACGCAGCGCTGCCTCGACTTCTTCCTCTCGGCGACCCACCCCCCGGCGGCGCACCCCTCCCTCCTCGAGTCGCCCGCTCACAGCCGCCCCCCGGCCATGGAACAGGCGCTCCTCGCCGGCGCTTCCGAGTTCGACTTGCTCCGCACGGTGGGCAACCTGATCAAGCGCTCTTCCGACCGCGCCTCGGACGACTCGCACGAGGCGCATGCGTCTCCACCCGGCCCCGTCCTCAGACAGCGCACCCTCCTGTCTTCACACCTCGGCCCGCTCGCAGGTGCACACCGTCGCCGACGTCGCGCGCGAGATCCTCGCGATGCGCGGCAAGGGCGGCAAGTGGTCGCACCGCCCCGTGCCGTCGTCGCTGCGGCTGCCGCAGATGCTGTACACACCCGCGCCGCCGGGCGCGTCGGACGGCGACTTCGACATGCTGCCGCACGGCTTCAAGCTGCTCGACCACGTCGGCAAGGGCGGCGGCGGTGTGCTCGCGGTCACCGGCGTCAAGCGGTCGAGCCCGGCGGCCAAGCGGCTCTCGGCGGCCACCCCCAAGCAGCGCGCACTGCCCTCGCCAGTGGGGATCGACACGGGCAGCGCCAAGAAGGCGCGCCGCCGCAGCAGCAAGGGCAGCGGTAGCGGTGGCAAGGGCAGCGGCGGCAAGGGCCGGAGCAAGGACGAGAGCAGCGGCGAGGAGAGCGAGGAGGAGGGCGGGGAGGGCGGCGAGGAGGAGGCGAGCCTCCCACACAAGACCGTCCCCAACCCCTCCACCTTTCTCCCACCTCGCTCCGAGACGCCCCCCAGTCCTCCCCGGACCACGCTGCACCCGCACCACCGCGGAGCCTCCGCCCCCTCAACCCCCCCCCTCCCCTCCCCCTCGCCGCCGCCCCCGCAGGCCTCCCCCATGGAGCAGAGCGACGGCGAGGAGGCCGAGCAGGGCGCCGCCGCTCGCCTCAAAGCGCGCCAGGAGAAGGAGGAGCGCCAAGAGGCGGAGCGCTCGGCGCGCGCAAAGCGCCGCTCCTCCGCCGACGACGAGCAGGGCAGCGCCGCCTCCAAGACGCCGAAGCGGCGCGGCACCCCGACACCGACCAAGGGCGCGCGGTCCTCGGCGACGGTCGGCGAGAATGTGGCGCCCCAGGGCTCGCCCGCAAAGGGGCGCAGCACCCGGGCGCGGCGCTGAGGCGCGGTGCGACGGCGCGCGAGCGGCGAGGGTCCTGCAGCAGCGGCCGGAAGAGCAAGGCCTGAGTCCCTCCTCGCGGCGTCGGCGAGCCCAGCGGTCGCTCATCGCTGCGGCACTTGAGAGTGTGGCGGCGCCATGCGGCGTACCTAAGTACACGAGTCGATTTGCGAGTGCGCACCGGGCGTAGCAGAAGAGCCCCGGTTGTGCGCTGCGTCGGTGGCATGAACCGTATGTACAGTCGCGAGAGTCGGAGGGGGCGGGCAATGTGAGGCAGCCTGTGGCGCGACGCGGGCGCATGTGGGGGGTAATCACAAGGGGAGTGAACACACAGATCAGGGTGATCACAGTGGTCTCTTGTCGAGAAAAGTTTAATAGAGTACAGCTGAGACAGGTCAGGAGAGAGATATGGAACACGACAACCATCGTTCGATCACGACTGACCCGGGTCACGCAGAGTGCAGCGCAGGACGTGCACACGCATGCACATGACGCATGCCACCGACCACAGGGACAACGTCTCAACGAACCAAAGAACAGGAGGCGAGCGTGGCGGGTCTCGCCTGGCGCGTCAGGTCGTCAGCGCACACACACCACGAGACCGCCGGCCACTCACTCCGCCTTCGCCTCTTTGGGCGGCGGCTTGGAGCCAGCGACAATGCGCATCGCCTGGAGGGGGGAGAGGCCGGTGTCAGGAGAGGCGAGAGAGTGTCTGGAGGTGGGCGAGCCTCTCGCGGCCACATCGCCGCTGGCGTCTCGCGTCTCGCCTTGCGGGCGATGAGGGCAAACCAGTAGACGTTGAGCAGGATCGGGAGGGGGACGGTCAGTGCGCCTACCGACACGCGTGGCGGACATGTCCGGGGTGGGGGGGTGAGGCGGGGTTGGGGGGGCACCGCGAGGCGGCAGACAGAAGCGTGGCGGCTGTACCGAGGTGTATTGGCGATGGGAGGGGAGGGGAGATGGGCGTGTCTCAGAGTGTCAGAGTCCGCGCCGAGGGCTCGGTCGAAGGGGGCCATGCCGCAGTCCGAGGTGACGACTGCCTCGGCGAAGGCTTTTAGCAGCCATGGGATGGTGACGATGCGGCAGCCGAGGAAGGAGAGCGCCTGCAGAGCCGAGGTGGGGGCGAGGTGGAGGCGAGGTGGAGGCGAGGTGGAGGCGAGGTGGAGGCGAGGTGGAGGCGAGGTGGAGGCGAGGTGGAGGCGAGGTGGAGGCGAGACATGCTGAGATGAGCCGAGATGGAGCCGAGATGGAGCCGAGATGAGCCCGAGATGTGCAGGAGCCGACGAGGGGGAGGAGGAGGGCGAGAGGAGGAGGAGGCGGAAGACGAGGCGGCGGCGCGCGCCCACACGAGTCCGACGGGCGTCTCGAGGGAGGGCAGCATCTTGCCCTTGTTTAGCACGAGGAAGAGGGCCTGCGAGGTGAGGGAAAGGGCTCTGTGTGAGAGCGTGTGTGCGCTTGTGGTGTGTGTGTGTGTGTGTGTGTGTGTGTGTGTGTGTGTGTGTGTGTGTACATGTCGCTGAGGCCCGATGCTTGGTCGGCTCGGCTGCATGTCTCGCCCCTGTCTCTGCATCTCGGGGCATGTCTCCTGTCCGATGTTGGTCAGCTCCGTGAAGAGGAAGAAGGACACGAAGACGACGGCGCGCCTGGTGACCCGCGTCGGGTGGTATTGGTTATTGGCGGGGGAGGAGAGGACGAAGGGACGAACGGCGCGCCCGCTGGCGATGCAGTACGGCCAGACCAGCAGAGAGATGAGATGGTGCCCGTACCTGCGGGCGGCGAGAAGCAGGTGTGAAGAGACGTGCGGCTGTGAAGATCTTGCATGCCCTCTGCAGGTGTGTGGGTCGAGGCCGCACATGAGCGCAGGGTTGCCGAGCTCGGCGCGGGTGAACTCCGGGTAGACGAGCATCACAATCGAGTCGTACACAAAGTAGCCGCACGTGAAGCCGCACGTCCACACCGCGAGCGGCGGAGCCGCCACCGTGGCAAGGTTCGGCTGCGCCGGGCAGGCAGCGTACGCAGGCGGGTCGGAAAAGAGGAGCTGCTGGAGGACTGCGGTGCCGGCCGGGCCGGAGACCAGCGCGTGAAGCCCGGAGACCACGCACTGCGACACGAAAAAGCGCCGCGACGGCGCGAGCGCATCGTGCGACTCTTTGGCCACAGTCGGAAAGAGGGCGCGCGTCGCAACGAGGCAGGCGCCCATGCCAATGGCGGAGGCGACGGCAATGGGCACCATCTGCATTATAGTCTCGACAAACCCAGCGACCTCATAGCCCGGCACCGCCATCGAGCCGTGCGAGCACTCCCGACGAGAGCAGGAACGAGAGCTCTCCAAGCCCACACGAAAAAGAATTTTACAACAAACTCCCTCGCACAACACTGGGCACGAAAAAGAATGAATATTCACGATACCGAATCGGCGAGAGACTGCGAAGAGAGATAGGAAGAGGCGGACGCCCAAGGGTGGGCGACGGCTAGCGCATCACACCCCTCTCCTTAAAATCCCTGTGTGGTGGCGGCGTGCCGTCCTCCCATCCCTCCCTTGGTGTGTCCCTTTTCTTTCTTTCTTTTTTACACTTGGCACGGGACTGGGCGCGCGCTGGCACTATAAAAAAGAATTTTAGATGCAAGGTGAAAAATAATTTTACCGGGCTGACGCGCAACACTGGGCACAGGACTGGCGCGCAAGGCGCAACCCACTGGCACACTAGGTACAGCGGGAAAAAGAATTTAAAGCGGCGTGGACACTCTCTGGACTCTCTCGTCTCTGCGCGCACTGGCACTCAAGAAGACAGGAAAAGAATTTTCTTCGAGTTTTTCTCTTTCGCCATCCAAACGCAGCATTTCAGTGTTTTTCTAACCGCCAGACGCGGCCGCGGGGACCCCGCCGGGCAAGCGGACGGCGATCACGGTGACATTGTCCCCGCTGCCCCGCCGGGCCGCCTCGTCCACCAACGCCTGCGCCGCCGCCTGCGCCGAGGGCGCTCGCGCCGCGAGCGTGCACGCGTCGCCGTCGGAGACCACGCCCCACAAGCCTGCAGTCAGCGAACAGGGCAGGGCGCCTCTCACAGCCGTGCCAGCCGCCGGCCCTCGGTGCATCTGTCTCTGAGGGTCGGCAACGCGCCGTCGGAAGCGAGCAGCAGGGTGTCGCCGCGACGCTGAGGGACGACGGCCACCATCGGCTCGGGCGTGACGTACGGCTGGAATTCGACCGAGCCTACAACAATGGCACGTCGAGCGTGAAGCAATCACACCACGCCGCCCCATCAACAACGGCCAGAACTCGACGGGGCCGAGGGCGCGCGAGACACCGAGCACGCCCTGCACCCTGCCCCTCAACACGAGGCCTCCGAGGTCCGCGATCCGCTCAGCCTACGGGAGGCGCCATCGGGCCGCAAATCTAGAAGGCCCTGAAGACCGGCCGCCAAGAGACCCGATCCGCAAGGCCTCCGCAGGCAGCGTAGGCGAGTGATCAACGGTGAGGCGGCTGACGCGCCCGCTGGCGCGGTGAAGTACCGCGCGCGAGTCACCGACCGACGCCACGTGCAGCGCACCGCCGCACGCAACGCAGACCAGCGCCGTCGTTCCGCCCGAGAGGCTTTCCGCGGACGGGCTGCCCTCGCCTTGCTGACGCTTGAACCACGCATCAAAGTGCAAGAAGGCTTCGTGAAGCGCCTCCCCCATCGGAGCGTCGGCCGGCGAGGCGGAAGACGCCGCCTCGAGCGCCTCGAGGCGCTCCTCTAGCAAAGTGTGCAGCAGGTGCGAGGCGGCTCGGGCGGCCCCCTGTCCGTTGTGGCCGTCAAAGACGGCGGTGTAGACAGCCTCTTTGCCTCTGCCGCAGCGCAAGAGACGAACCTGCGCGTAGTCCTCCATCGACAAGCGCTGCCCGCGGCCCGTTGCGACACCCACGTCGCACCGCCCAGCCAACGCGTCAGCCTCGCGTTGTACTGCGCATTGCCGCTTGCTCAGAGATGAGCTTAGGGGGTCCTATTGACATATCATCGACGTGTCGCCGACTTGTCACGGCCGCATCCATAGTAACTGAGGAGTTCCTTGGTCGGTGAGCGCAGCTCGTCGCCCCTTTCCTTGGCGCTGCCTCCCCTGCTTCCCCCTCTGCTGCCTCCCCTGCTGCCTCCCCTGATCTGCCCCGCCGCGTGCCTGACCGCTACCTCCCCGGCCAAGAAGTCCTCGATGTCGTCCGAGCCAGACTCGACGAGGTCTGGCTCGGACCTGCCAGAGAGGCCAGGCGGGGAGCAACAGGTGAGAATCCGACTGCGGAAGGCGAGCAGGAGGCGCGGGAGGCCGCCTTGTGAAGAACGGCGAGTTGCATCCCGGCGAGCAGTTGTCGCTCACGGCTGTCATGGGCCGGCTCGAGGAGCCGGGACGCCAGCGGGATGGGCTGGGCTCATGCGCAAACAGCCACTCGTCGATGCTCCCCGCGTCGGACCGAGCCGCGGGCGTTCCGACTCGCGAGGAGCACAGCGGCTCATCGAGCTCAGCCTGGCGGGGACGGAGCGGAGAAGGGCCTCAGGCAACCTGTGAGAGTGCTCTCTTGCCTGGTGGGGTCGCATGCCTGCGCGGGTGACCATGGTGCTCCCTCTGCGCGGGCGGCGCCGTCGAGGCCGCGCATTGGCGACGTGGGCAGGAGGGCAAGACCCGAACGGATTGCTGGCTGTGCCGCACATCGCGCCGGTGGTCTGACTGGTGGCGGTGGCCGGAGGAGCCGGTGGCCCAGCGAGGATTGCATCGTCGACGGGGCTGAGGCGTAACTGGCCGCGCCCGATCGCGAGGCGGGTGGCGTGCCGGGAAAGCTGGAGGAGCCGGTGTCCTCAGTCAGAATCTCCTCCCCCACCTCATCCTCGTCCTCGAAGCCATCGCGCATTTTTCAGTCGGAGTGGGCAGAGGCGGTTACAGGTTCGGCAGAAAGAGTAAAGAATTTGCTAACTGCTGGATGTGAGGTTGATAACTGCACTCCAAGTGCTCCAAGTGCTGAGACATCAGAATGGGGAAAGATCCCGAACCCACAGATTGCTCGATTGCGGAGAACCGATGCGAAGCCGCTGCCCGTCGCGTAGGAAGGGGCAACCAGTATGTGGTGTGATTTCGAGGAAAACTCGGCGTATGCGAGCTCGCGGCGCCCCGTTTTCGGGCTCCGGGGGCGCGGGGTGGGCACCGTAGGCGGCGGGCGGACGGGCGGGCCGGGCGGCGGTCTGGGCCGGCGGTGGGGCGCGTAAAACCATGCAAAACGCGTATGTGGTGCGGGCAAAAGTGCGCCGTTTTCTGCGCCGGCATCGGCGCAGATCTGCGCCGGCAAACGGCGCACTTTGCGCCGCCGGCGCACTTTGCGCCGCCGGCGCACTTTTTTGATGGCGAAACTGCGGATGTGATTCGGGGTGGTGACAGCAGTTTCGCAGCGACCCAGGATGACAGAGCTGGCCTTTGCCAGGGTGAGGACTTTTGTGCGCCTCGGTGAGGCGGTTCCGATGGTATTTTTTTCGAGCGCAGGTGACTTCATCTTGCCGGTCAACTGCCGGCGGTCGACAACTGCCGTTCGAGCAGCGTCGGGTACCGCCGGCAAGATGAACTCACCTGAAGCTGAGCCGCGGCATGCCGCCCCGCCTGCGCGGCACGTATTTTCATTAGGAGGCGCATACGTGTACCAGCCGGTGGGGGGCAGCGATCCCGGGAGCTGCCAGCGATGGGGGGCGTCCGTGCAGCGCGTCGAGTTTTCTTTTTTCGTTGCGCCAGCGCCAGTCCACGCCCTTGTCGCGCATGTGAGCGCGCGGCAACGCTCGATCTCTACGGAGGCTCCAGCTCAGGTCAGAGGGCCCAGCCACTCGTTCGTCGGTTGGGTGTAAACAAACATTGCCTATGGTCTTCAACGCACAAAGGGTGTGAATAGAGCTCTCTTGATCCTTCTGAGCACGAAGACCGCTAGAACTCTTCTGCAGACTTTAGTGTTTCCGGTTTTCATTAGCTGTGAATGTTTGTATATGCGCCCGCCGCAGACCGCCCTATTCCACTGGGCACGCGCCACGGGCCACGAGAGCCCTGGTAGAGCCCAGCTGGCATGTTCCATCGCCCGGGTGTCGGGCTGTCTGCATACAGACGTCTCGTCGCCGTGGCCGACGCGTGGTCCGACGTGTGGAGGAGTTTGACCTCAGCCAGGCCGTCGGTGTCGGCGGGCTGACGGCGGCCGCCGGAATCGCGATTCGCTCTGCCAGCTGCCAGCAGCCTCGTGTCGCCGCTCTCGTTGGCGCAGCAGCAGCGATTGGCCTTTGCGCCGTCGCTCGACGGCGTCACCGCCCATCTGACCTGCGCAGCTCCTGCAGCTCCTGCAGCTCCTGCTGTCAGTCTTCTGCTCTCACGCACCTCACTCGCCGCACGCGGATTGTGCGCCGCGCCAAGCAGGACACGTGCTCATGCAAACAATGCGAGAACTTAGTTGCGCCGCTCCTGTGGCGGCGCTGCTTTAGAGAGGAAGCGGCAGCGTGGGAAGCAAAGCAGATGGAGGCGGCGCGGCATGCCAAGGAGCTGCTGCTGGCGGAGGTTGAGCGGCTAAGTGCAGCAAGGGCCAAGAGCAAGAAGGGCAAGAAGAAGAAGAAGAATGTGGGCGTGGGCGATACGGGCGCCGCTAGGCTCAACGAGGAGATGCTGTGCAGTTAGAGAGCTCGTAGCGAGCTCGATTTTGATGAGAATTTGATGAGAAATATCTCGATTTTGAGCAAAAAACGCCAAAAATCGGCGCCTGCGGCGGGCCAGCCTCCGGCGGCGCCTGCGGCGGGCCGCCCGCCCCAGACCCTGTTTACACCCGAGCTATGCCCCACGACCTGAGCCGGAGCCGGACGGGAATGGTGTGGGATTGGACCGAAGCGCACAGGCACAGCGCGATCTCGACTCGCTTACCGTAGCGAGCAGCGCGAGCGCGGAGATTGCTTTGGGCGAAGAGGTCTGCGATTCGACACGCGCGAGCTGTTGCCGTGTTGGCCTGCGTGCCGACCTGCAGCGCTGCACGCAGCCGCGCCGGCAGCTGGGGCCGGCCGGGTGCAGCGACCAGCGTGCTCACCTATGTCCTATCCCTCCGCCACCTCTGCTGTGATGGCTGCCTCCCCTTCCGTGTTCCGGCAACACACAAAGAGCAAACAACATATTGCTCAAAATCTCTCTCTCAGCATGTAGAGCCTACAAATTGTTCGCACGGCGCACAGACTCGCAATCCGCCGCCTTGCACACCCCCTCCAGAGCAGCTTGGCCGAGCGTGTCCCGCTTCACGGCATCCGAAGGAATGCGGACTGCCTCACCCGCGCGGCTCGGCACGGCGTTGTGGACGGCAGCGAGCTCGAGGTAGGAAGTCAGCGCGCCGCGTGCCCGCTCCAGTGCCGCCTGCTGCGCGGGGACGTCGTCCACGCGGCAGCCCTGCTCCAGAGACGCAATTGAGGCCTCAAAGCTGTTGGTCAGCGCTGCGGCTTTGGAGAGATCCTCTCCGCTCAGCGGTGCCATCTTGGTGGCAAGCACCATGACCGCCGGCGCGCTCTTGAAGTAGATGGCCGAGAGCCGCAGGACTGTGATGCTGTCTTCTCTGGTGCCTCTGTAGCCGGGCAGCGCCAGATCGACAGCGAGCTGGTCGAGCTGGCCCAAGGAGTCGGCGAGCTTGCGAAGCTGCGCCTGCGCACGGTCGAGGCTGCCGCCAGACTCGACGAAGCCCATGAGGTCACCGAGTACTGGCACGACGATCCGGTCGTCGCGACCGTAGATGCCTTCGGCAATCGAGCGCGCAGGAGCGCAGCACGGCAAAGCGGCGAGGCTCGCTAGCGCAGCGCGCCTGCTCAAGCAACCAGACTGCACCAACGCCGACGCAGCCGAGAGGGCGGTGGCGAGAGCAAAGGTCGCGCGCACTCGAGCCATTCGCGCTAGAATTCTTTGTTGCTGCAGCTGGTTGCTGTACTCGAGTACGATCGAGTCCGAGGTGACAACAGATCAGGGGAGTGTCTTTGACTCGCCCCCGCCCTTTCCCTGTCAGCAGTTCACCTACGGGTATGTTCGTAAGAGCTACATACACTGGTATTGCTAAAAATTCGGCGGTAGTGATCTAATCACCCGAATACCACGTTCGGATCGCTCCTCATCGCAAACCCTGTCAGCAGTTCACCTACGGGTATGTTCGTAAGAGCTACGTACACTGATCTCCCTTTTGTCCCAGTAAGCTAAAAGTACGTACACTGAGAGAAAAAAATCTCTCTCTACACTGAAAACAGGGATTTGAAGTCTCAGGATTGCAAAGTCCAAACTCGACCGTCCACGCAATCTCGGTTGATTGCCCTTCCTCTGCTTGCAGCGGCGCTCCCCTCATGGCGTTCGCATACGCCTCTCTCGTTGGGCTCGCCTACGTGCCATCGGCGCTCCCGATCGGCGCGCGCACGGCTGCGCGGGCGGTGGCTGTCCTGCAGCAGGGATCTGACCCCTCTGGCAGCTGGGACTCGTACTACGACCCGTCGTTGTCGGGTACGTCTGAGGTGGGTGGGATTCCCACGCCCGAAGTCGCGGGCGCGGCAAAGGTTATCAAGGTTGTAATCGCGGAGGACAACGCGCGCGCTCAAGTCTTCGACCCCGTGGCTTCACCCGCCGAGGCCGAGGTCGACCCCGTGGCTTCACCCGCCGAGGCCGAGGTGCCCGCGGAGAAGCCTACCCGACTCATCGAAGAGGCGGAGAAGGCAGCCGTATTCGCAATGAAGGGATACCGTGCCGTCAGGACCGAGCTTGAGCGCGTCGCGTCCTGGTGCAAGGACAATGAAGACTCGATCCGGTCCAAGGCGGACGCAGCATGGGAGGCAGTGGTCGAGTTTGACCGCAAGCACGAGGTCGTCGCGACCTCCGTTGCAGTCTGCCGCCTGGCGGTGAAGGAGGCAACGCCGGTGGTCAAACGCTCCCTTGAGCGCCTCAAGCGCGGGGGCAAAGACTCGCGCGGCTAGACACATTGGCAAGATCAAAACACTGTAACTGAAGTGAGATGTGGCAACCAACATGACGCGACCTCGCCACACGCGTGTGCGGCGTTGGGGGCGGCGTGGCACACTGACAGCGGGCGGCGCAACTCGTGTAATGTGTCGCTGTGTCGGCTCTGTGCTCTCCCTGTCTCTAGCTGTCTCTCTGTCTCTTTGTCTCTCTGTCTCTCTGTCTCTCTCTGTGTCTTGGTGTGTCCTCTCTGTCTCTCTATCTCTCTGTCTTATGTCGGTCTTCTCTTTTTCCTGGAAAATTTCTCCTACGGCGCGAGAAGCTTGGCTTGGCTGAGAATCTTGTCTCGTTTCCTTTCCGTGTTTCAGCAGGACACAGGGGTAGAGATCTTCTATTCAGCGCACTTCAGACGCAGCGCAGGGCGCACAGCACGCTCTCGTGTTTTCCCTCTCAATAAACTCCGTGAAATTCCAGCGGCGCGGTGTGCGTCAGAGTTGGAGCACAGACGTGCAGGGCGAACCCCCGACCCACTCCGGGCGGCTCTGCCGTCTTCGCACGCCTACGTTGCGTTCTGAGCTAGGTTCTGAGTTCCACGCCGCCGGAGCAGGCGCCCATCGCTTCCCCGCAGCGCGGCTGGCGTCTAGTCACACCACAGTGTCCCGGCGCGGCTGAACCCCCCCACGGCTATGACGTCGAGCTATGACGGATATCGCAGTTTAGCCATCCTTAGCTTAGTCCTTAGGATTCGGGCAGAGAATGAGCGATTTCCCAGCCGCCGCCACCATCTCTGATCTCGCCTGCTAAAGGCGTGAGCCGAAGGGCGGCGGCGGCGGTGGCGCGAGGTTGTGGACGAACGAAGCTGGGCGCGGCGCGGAGACGGCAGAGATGGCGTGGGGACCGGCCGGCGGTGAGAGTGATGGTAAGGCCGGAGATGGTGGCACGAACGCACGATCTGATTTTGGCGCGGGTCAGCTTATGTGAGTGTGTGTGTGACGCTGTGAAAACAGCCTACCGACAACGGGCGAACGTCCCCGGCTAGTGCGTAGTCGCTAGTGCGTAGTCGCTAGTGCGTAGTCGCCGACACAGCAGCACACCCACAATTGGAGTGGATGCGTGCGTGTATGAGGTCCGCGATCCGTCCGTTTAGCCACCCCGTCGCGTCGACGTGCGCCTCGTGTTGTAGATGGTCGACGCGGAACCACTTGACGGGGAACATGCCGGGGCGCGCCTCGCAATCTGGCGCTGGCTCACCTCGCTCTCCTTCTTCTCGCTCGCCCTCTTCCACCATTTGGACCTGCTCTCCGTCGATGCCGCTGGTCCCAACAAAGGCAGAGCTGTGCCAGCTCCCAGTGCCGAGGCATACTTGAGTGACAGCCGCAGACTCGAAGATCTGGGCGACATGAGTGGCAGCCGCAGACTCCAAGCCGACGTCTATGGCGTGGACACTTGCACGCCGTCCGCCTCGCTCCTCTTCCTCCCAAAGGTTGACTGTGCGGAGAGCCGCCGACCCTGCCGCGGTGACAAGCTCCAGACTGGCGACCGCGTGTCGATGGACGTCTGCGTGAAGAACGGCGCCTACTACCCGACCATAGACATCAATCGACAGACGTTCGTGGTTGCGGAGCTTGCCGCGGGCACGACGATCGAAGTCAGGGCTTCGTGCGAGGTCGCCACCTGTAGCAATGCCATGAAGGGCCTCCTCCGCTTTCAAGGCTTCACTCCACACCGTGGTGGCGTGCGCGCGGTCAGCAGCACCGAATGCGGCGGTGATCTTTGCCTGTCCATCACCATGGCCGACGCCGTCTACCTCGGCCGTCGCACGACAACCTGCCTGGGGACCATCGAGACCGTGGTGGGTGACGGCGATCCTCGCGGCAGCGGGATGCCCTTCTGGGTGAGAGCCGCCACCACGGACCGCGACGTTGTCATCGCTGACCGGATGTGCACCGTTATGCCCGCCACCCAGGCCACTGGGGCGATGGGGCTGATGTTTGCGGCACCCTCCGCGCCGTCGCCGCCGCCGCCCTCCGCCTCGCCGTCGCCACCGCCGCCCTCCGCCTCGCCGTCGCCGCCGCCGCCCTCTGCCTTGCCGTCGCCACCGCCGCCCTCTGCCTCGCCGTCGCCACCGCCGCCCTCCGCTTCGCCGTCGCCACCGCCGCCGTCGCCACCGCTGCTGCCTCGGTTCTCCGCCCTTGAACTGCCGCCATCGCCGCCTCCGTTCTCGCCGCCAGCCACCCCCCCTTCCCCGCCGCCGCCGTCCCAGTCGCCGTCCCCACCGCCCCTACCGCCCCGGCCCCACCTGCTGCGGCACTGCGTGGGCGCCGCCTCCATCCTCCTATACCCCAACCTGAGGTGCCCCCGTGATGACCACGACTGCCGCCCCGACCGCCTCCACTGGGGCGATTACCTCGACCTCATGGTCTGCGTGGACAACGACTCGTACTACCCCAGCGGGCAGGGCACCGAGTTTGTCGAGGCGATCCTTGGCGCTGGCGCCGCCATCGACGTGCTCGCGGCCCTCACCACCACCCACCCCCGCCACCAGCCCGCCTGCCGCAACCATCCCCTCCCACCCCGCATCTACCCTCCGTAGGTGCTCGCGGCGTGCCCCACGCTGCCGTGTCCCGCAATGCAGCTGAGCCCAGAGTTCCTCTCATACCAGAGCTTTACCGCCCTGGTCAATGGGGTCCGCTGGCAAGACAACACGCCGGAGTGCGCGCGCAGCGGGAGCAACATGTGCGGGCACATCGCCATCGACACCGACATCACGCTGGGTCACAACGGCCCGACCTGCCTCGGGACGATCCTCACCAGAGTCGGCTATGTCGTGGAGTTGGACCCCGACGACATGTATCATCCGTTTTGGGTGGAGGCGCAGACGCAAGGCGCTGACATCGCAGTCGAGGGCTGCATCAACGACGCGGCCACCGGGGCAGGCGGAGCTCTGCCGCTTCGGTACGCGCGTCCGCCGCCGCAGTCGCCGCCGTCACCGCCCGCCCTCCCGCCCTTGCCCCCACCCTTCCCGCCGCCATCGCCACCGCCCTCCCTACCGCCTCCCTCGCCTCCGCCGCCCTCGCCGCCCTCGCCGCCGCCGCCGCCGCCGCCTTCGCCGTCTCCGTCACCACCGCCGCCAAACCCGCCGCCACCGACGCCGCCGCCGCCCTTGGAGCTGCCGCCCACGCCGCCGCCGCCCTTGGAGCTGCCACCCTCGCCGCCGCCGCCCTCGCCGCCCCCATCGCCGCCTCCGCCGCCGCCCTCGCCGCCTCCGCCGCCGCCTCCGTCGCCGCCTCCCCCGAGCCCGCCGCCGCCCTTGCCGCCGCCCCCATCGCCTCTGCCAAGCCCGCCACCGAGCCCCCCGCCGCCGACGCCATCGCCGCCTCCGTCGTTGCCACCGCCCTCCCCAGCGCCTCCCTCGCCTCCGCCACCCTCGTCGCCCCCATCGCCGCCTCCGCCGCCGCCCTCGCCGCCTCCGTCGCCGCCTCCGTCGCCGCCTCCCCCGAGCCCGCCGCCGCCCTTGCCGCCGCCCCCATCGCCTCTGCCAAGCCCGCCACCGAGCCCCCCGCCGCCGACGCCATCGCCGCCTCCGTCGTTGCCACCGCCCTCCCCAGCGCCTCCCTCGCCTCCGCCGCCCTCGCCGCCGCCGCCTGTGGAACTTCCGCCCTCGCCGCCGTCCCCCTTGCCGCCACCCTTTGCCCGCGATTTCAACCCGCCGTCCAAGCTCTGCATGAGCCACATACGGACGATCGAGTGGGATACCACCTGCTGACGCGCCGCGGGCCGCAACCTTTCGCACGAGGTCGTGGGCGGTGTTGGTGGGGGGGGGGGGGGGGGGACAGGAGGACCCGTTGGTGTCGTTTTCATCAGAACACAGAGACAGTTCCCTCCCCTTGTCTCCATGTGCTCACGCCTCCGCACGCTCCTCCCACGCTTAGCACGTACGACCTTCAGCAGAGGCAGAGAGGCAGCTGGCAGCCGTCATCTGTGAGAGTTCCCATCTCTCTTGTGACACTAACAGGCCTCCGCTGGCGCCTTCCAATAGCCACAAGACATAAAAAAAAGCTCTTTTGAACGGGTACTGTTGTTGCGTGAGTGGCTACCAGGCTCCCGCCCGGCCCCGGCCACTGCTTTCTCTAGGACTCTAGCTGCGTGGTGTTGCCTGTGCTGTTGGATGGTTCGGAATGGTCTATCCTGGTGGCCCGTCCTTGGGGACTTCCTCTTGGACAGCGCACCCGACACACGCAAGCAGCGTCTCGCGCCACGAAACCCGCGCCAGCGTTGCCTCAGAATACAGTTCCGTAGTACAATAGTAGTCCCACCGTGTGGCCTGGGCCGCCCGGACCCAGAGCTGCTGGGCGCGTTGCAGACAGCGTTGCGCGAGCGTTGCAGAGGCCAGCCTCCGGCTTCTCAGCGTGTCGCGAGTGCTGCTGTGTCTCTATCCTGCCTGGTGGATGGGTGTGTGGTGGGGGGCTCCTAGTGGCTTTTGCTTACAAATTTACGGAATGACGGATTTACGGATCGACCACCCTCCCTCCCCGATCCCCGTCCCGCGGCCCAGCCGTGAGACGCCGATCACGAATCAAGTTGGTGCCGGGTGTGGGCCCATGAGCCATGTGATTTAAGGATCTGGTAAAAGATTGATTCTCGTCCCTGTAAGTATTGATATTGAATATTGACAGCCTCACCTCTACGTATTGACAATATATTGAGGTATTGGTCGCTGATTTTCACCTCCAAAAGTATAAAATGTCGACATTTGTCCCAAACATCGCCCAGATCTTGGCTGAAATCAACAGGCTCGCGAGTTCAAAGCGATTTTGGTGCGACCCAAGCGATTTTGAAGCGATTTGGGCCCATGTTGGGCGATTTTATGGCGTCCGCAAGCTCGGGATGGACCCCTCTCATCAGACATCACTGGATGACTGGATACATCGACACCGTATGTTGAGCCCCCCCTGACCAGCCCAGGCCCCAGCCCCTGTAAGTATTGACAATATATTGGAGATTGATTGCTCCTCTAAGTGTTGGAGAAATATGTATGAGTATGTATTAGTAGGAAGGGCTCGATTGGACGGAGGGTGGACGCGGGGGGGGGGGTATTATTCAATATATTTTAACAGATCCTCTTGAAGCTCAATGTGATTTTGCTATGTGGACCTTTGCGAGAGGTGGCGAGCGGAGCAAAAGCGGTGTAGGCGCGTCCACGCGGCGCAGCGGCTCTCCCGTAACCAACAGCCCCAACGCTTGCCGCTCTTCTTAGATCTTAGTGTCGGGTAGTGACACCAACAAACATTGGACTTGGAGCACTTGGAGCACTTGGAGTGCAGTCGGCAACCTCACATCCAGGGCCGGTGAGCTGAGAAGCGCATCCAGCGGGCCGGATGATCGGTATCGGGTTACGGGCTAGAGAGCCCTAGCCCCGGGGGTGCGCGTTCGCAGGGCAAGGGCCTTAAAGTAAACACGGGTCTCCGAGGGTTAGCTCCGGGCTCCGACTTTTTCTGTCTCTTCACAAAGAAAAGCGCGCGGTCTGCACGCGACGCGCCGCTCCTCTCCGCCCTTCCCTCCCCCCCCCCACACCCGTCCCACCCTCCCCGCCCCTCCCTCTGCGCTCCCCGCGGCGCGCTGCGTCCCCCCCAAAAATCACTGCTGCCGGCTCCCGTCCGCTCGCCAGGCGCGCATACGAAGACACCGCACGCAGGGGACCTCCAACCATGGCTCAGCACCTTGCGAAGATCTTCGGCACCGAGGCACGCCGCCGCGCGCGCTGCTCCCGCCTCCCCGCTCGCCGCCGCACGCGCTGAGACGCGCCCTCCCGACCCGCACGGTTCACGAGCGTAGGAGGACAAAGTCAACTGCCCATTCTACCTCAAGATGGGGGCGTGCCGGCACGGCGACCGGTGCAGCCGCATCCACAACCGGCCCATCCTCTCGCAGACCGTCCTCCTGCAGAACATGTATCTGCCGCCGCCGCAGCAGTACGACCCGATGGGCAACCCACTCCCGCAGGCGCAGAGACCGGACCCTTCCGAGACACATCCCCAGACAGACCGCCTCTCCGTCGGACGGCCAGCGACGCAGCCACTCGCCCCGAGGCGTCCGACACGCCCACGCCGAGCTCGCCACACGCGAGTCGCCCCTCTCCTCTCCCCACCCTCACCCTCACCTGCCTCTCCCGCCCGCGCGCAGAGCGAGGAGGAGCTGCAGGATCACTTCGAGGAGTTTTACGAGGACATCTTCGAGGAGCTCATCACGGTGGGCGGCGAGCTGGAGCAGCTCCGCGTCTGCGAGAACCTCTCCGACCACCTCGCCGGCAACGTCTACGCAAAGTTCCGCGACGAGGACGACGCGCAGAAAGCGCTCACAAAGCTCATGGTCCGCCGCGCCTAGCCGAGAGAGAGGGCCGTGAGGCCAAAGACTTCTCGGGCACACACGCACACGCACGCACGCCTCCCAGTTCGCCGCCGCCGCCGTCCGTGGAGCCCCGGAAAAGCCCAAGACCCTTCTGCCGCCAGGGGCAGACTCAGGCCCTGACGGGGGATCACCGCGGGCGGTGGCGAGGCTGCACAGGCCCCAGACACAGGAACAGGGGGAGGCGGCGTTGCGCAAGCGCGGGCGCGGCGACGCCACAGATTGCGGCACAGATTGCGGCACAGATCTCGCGGCACAGATCTCGCGGCACAGATCTACAGATCGCGCGGCACAGAGCTCGTCACAGATTGGGCGGCCGTCGCCACTCCGCCGCTCCACCGGCGTCGCTCCCGCTCCGCTCGCGCTCTGACAGGGTCGCTTCTACGCGGGCCGGCCCATCCTGGCGCAGTTCTGCCCCGTGACCGACTTCAAGGACGCGCGCTGCCGCCAGTTTGAGGAGTCGACGTGCTCGCGCGGCGGCTACTGCAATTTCATGCACCTGAAGAAGGTTTCGTCAAAGCTCCAGCGCCGGCTCGCTCGCAAGCTCGAGGAGGCCCGGTGCGGTGCCGCCCCGGCTCTCCTCCCCCGGACCTCTCTCGCGGAGCCGTTCCCCCGCCCCCTCGCCCCCTTGGCCGCCCTCTCTTCTCCCCTCACACGATCCCCCTCCCCCTCTCCCCCTCGCCCTCCCCGCTCCAGGGAGGAGCGGGACCGCGAGCGGCGCAAGTCGCGCCGCGAGCGCCGCTCCCGCTCGCGCTCGCGCTCGCGCTCGCGCGGCCGCGGCGACCGCGGCGCCGAGGACCGCGACCGAAACGGGCAGCCCCGCGGGCGTGAGGGTTCGGCGGAGCGCCGCGCAAAGATCGAGCAGTGGAACCGGAAGCGCAACGAGGGCGGCGGCGGCGGCGGCGGCGGCGGCGGCGGCGGCGGCGGCGGAGACGGCCGGCGCGAGACGTCGGAGGAGCGGCGCGCCAAGATTGCCCAGTGGAACGCCGCGGGCGCTGGCGGCGGCGGCGATTGAGGCGGGCGGCGAGGGCATCGGGCGCTTGAGCGGGCTACGAGCACTGCGCGCCAACGGCCATGGGATGGTGAAGCGGGGTGACAGCGCAGACGGCGCACGGGTAGTCGAGGCCGGGGAGCGGGTAGGAGCTGCGATGCGCCGCCATCCACCCGGCCGCTGAAACACTGCGCTGACAGCAGGGCCGAGGCGGAGGCCTCGAGCCGCACCACGACCCGCCTCGCTTTGACTTTCGACAAGTGTAGAGAACATGTTCCACATTGGGCTTTTGGCACTGACGAGCGACCACGAGAAATACCGGCGTTTTCGCAAGAGAGTCGAGCGAGCAAAAAGTCGCCGCAACTGCTCGGCCTTGAGTCGCAGCTTGCCGCCGCCGTGGCGGGCAGGATGCCGGCCGGCCGCTCCCGCTGTCGGGCGCATCCGGCGAGACTCGCCTCGCCCCCGCCGCGCCGGCGAGCTGCGAGGGCACCATCCCAACGGCTGCCGTCCCCCGGCTGGCGGCGTGAGAGGCCTCGGGAGGGCTCACCGAGGGCCGGCGCACGCGATGCAGGCACTACCAAGGTCCTGGCGACCGCTCCGCGACCACCTCATCACATGAGACGACTGCTGTAGGACGCTCGCGGGCCAGAACTCGACGAGACCGCCACACCAACACTAACTGCGCGCCGGCGCCCGATCTGGATTTTGGCCTCCCGACGCGATTTCCGACCCCCGACGCGAAGATATCGTCCCGACTCTCACTACTCGCCCCTCCATCCTGTAGGTCCGGACCTTGCCTGCTCAGTAGCCGCGATGAATCGTCGCCCTCATCGTCCGCGGTCACCCTTTCAGCTTCGGACTGGCTTTTTGAGACCCTCGCGTTTGCCCATCTCGGCCGTTTACGACGCGTCACGCCTTCCCTCGTGCCGCAAGTAGGCGTGTGCGTCATGACTCCGGTGCCAGCTACACGGCCACGCCGCGGGACAACGTGCCGGGACGGATCCATCCGACCCACGGGTGCCCAAGCCGCCTCGCGCGCCTCAGCCCGCCGGGCCCCTCGGCGGCCAGTGTGGGGTGGATACGGCGGTGATAAAACCCCTCTGACAGCAGCGCCTCACGGTGTGGGCTGCGAGGTCACTCGGGGTGACCCAGGGGGCGGCGGGGGAGCAATCTCCCGCCGGAGCAGCGGGTGAGATTCCCGCTACTCGCTCGAGTTTGAGGTGCGCCGCGCCTCGCCTGTGCTGCCTTCCCGGCCGCCCCAGCCGCCCTCACCGTTCCTCATCCCCTCCCCCACCCCCTCCCCCTCAGGCTAGGCCCTCGCCGCCGCCGCCGCCGCCGTCTCCGCCAGAGCCGCCGCCGTTTCCTCCCCCCCCACCCCCTCCGACGCCGTCGCCTCCGCTGCTCCCGCCACCACCGCCGGCCGCCTCAGCTCTCCCTCGCCCACCTCCCACACACCCCCACCGCCCTCCGCGCGTCCCCGCACGCCGCCTCCGCGCCCCCACGCCCCCATGAGGACCTCCCGCCCCGCCCTCCCCGCGTCTCAGACCCTTGGCCGTGCTCCGCTCGGGGAAACTCGGCGCCGCCGTCGCGAGCACTGCTGCCAGCGCAGCCGACGGGCGACGCGACAGCGGCTAGCGGCCGTGAGAGCCTCTCCAGTGCGGGCTGGGGGCGGCGGCGGCGCACGGCGGGTGGCGGGCGAGCAGCCGGCCGGCCGGCGGCGCGTCTCGACTCGATTTATGGGCCGCCTCTCGGGCGTGCGGCCACGGCCCGTGCGGCGCGAGGAGAGGGCGGCGCGCTCGGCGCGCTGGCGGCGGTGAAGCCTCCCAGAGTGGGCGCTGGCTGGCCGAGGGCGTCGGGCGGGTGCGGGGCGGCACTCAGGCCGCCGGAACGGGCCGTGATGGCCCGTGTGGCGTTCGTGAGGGACCGTTTGTGCGCCCCGGTAGCCAACCGGCCGGCGGCCACCGGGGCCGGAATTGGCAGCGGCTTGGGCTGTGTGTGGGCTGGTCGCGGTGGGGGATATGGTGCTTGTTTATGGTCCTCATTTCCCCCACTCACCACTCCCAACCGGCAGGGCCTCACGGGGCAATTTTGAAGGCCTCTGCCATCGCTCAGGTCCCAAACCATGTGCTCGTCCGCGCAGGGAGGGCTCGGTCGCGCCCCCCAGAGTCAGGTGTTCGGACTGAGCGACGGCAGGACCCTTTGAAATCATAAACTGCGACGTCCGTGAGGCCCCTACGGCCGGTGGCAGTGAGTGGGTGATTGGAGGGCCATAAACTACCATCACGCCGCCCATCGTACCCCTCCTCCACCCCAAACACAGTCCAAACCGGGGCCCCGGCGGCGGCCGGCGCGGCGGCGGCGACGCACGCCGGCGAAGCACCATCAAGCTGCTGTACGGCCCCGGCATCGCCTCCCCTGGCTTAGCTCTCAGTCAAGATATTGTGAACATGGTCAGTCTCTACAATATACTCACTGACACTGAACCTCCCAGAGCTCGTCCCGGTCCATTACGGCCATCCTCGTCCTCAGGCGCCGGGCTCCGCCGGCCAGTCGCCCGCCAGATCCGGCTTCGTCGGGAGGGCGTCGTCGCGGAGCACCATCGCCGCTGTCGGCGCTCCTGCGGCGGTCCGGGGGCACGTCTGGGTGGCCAGGGGCGGGGGTCGAGCCGTGAGTGCTCCGCCGGGGCGAGCTTCTGGGTCCATGGCACCGCTGCCGGACCCGTCCGAGAGCCTTTCCGGACACGTTCGCTCGATGGCCTAGCTGGCGGCCGATATTCGACAACCAAAGCTCCGGACGCCGCGGCCAAAGATCCGCGCACAGTCCCAGGGCTCGTGGTGAGTGTGGGGTGTGCCTCACGAGGCGGAGAGGCCGCGTGAACTCCCGTAGAAGCTCGCGAAGTGCGGATTTGGAGCGCCGCGCCGGACCTCCGCCGGGGCCCGCCGGGGCCACGGGAGAGGTCAGAAATCGTTTTGGGGGGTAGACTACTACAAACCGGTCACGGTCCCGTCCAGTCTAGTCCCTTGGCCGGCCCTGGGCCGCTCGGCACCGCGCGGGGGTGCCGTTAAGCGACCCTACGGATTTTCAGTGGTCGATTTTGGCCAAAAAGCCCAATGTGCATGTAAACTGATAATGTGATCAGCCCGTTGTTGCACCTTGGAGTGTGAAGGCTTCGTAGGACGTAGCCCTCCGGTCTACTATGTAAGACCGGAGTGCTGGAGCGACAAAAGCAAGCGAGTGATATGTGTCGGCGGTGGATGGCGAATGGCGTGTGCTGTGTCGCGCGCACGGAATAACGAGTGTAAGTGAGTCGTGCCAGTCGTCGAGCTGCAGTGCACGCGCCGTCTGGTCCGTGGTCGCTGCGCGGGGTTCCGAGATCCGACGAGGCCACCCCACGCCAGCTCTCCGCTCTCCGCGCAGTTGCGGGGAGGAGACTTATCAAAAGAAATCGCGCGTGTGACGCGGCCGCTAGCTTCAGGTTCAGGCCTTCACACGGCGTGGCGCGCTCTCAAGCTCTCCTCACCACGCCTCTCCGCCCCCTCAGTCTTGACACCGCGCCGCCAGCGCCACGCGCCCCTGCGCTGGCACCGCCCGCGGTCCACGGGTCGGCGCACGCCGCGTAGCTAGAGGAGCCGTTGGGTGGGAAGAGTGACCGCGGCGAGGGGCGCGGCCTGCCCGCGGCGTCGTAGAGGGCGCACGCGACGAAAGAGCGCAGCTGGTCCGGGTCCTACAGCCGAGCTACGCCGTTCCGAGAGGTCGCCGAGGCTAGGGCGCGGCAGCCAGGGGCGGCTCCTTGAACTTGTGGAAGGAGACGGGCGAGCGCGAGAGGGGCCAGCGCGCCCACCTCTCCCCCTTGGCGCGCATCCTCCGGTACCTGGGCAGGTCACACGCCCCGCTAACAAGTACGTCACACCCCCGGGCCTCACGGCCATGTCTCGGCTGTCTCTCGGCTGCATCTCGGCTGCATCTCGGCACTTGAGCGGCTCGTGCTGGTAGAAGGAGCCGCAGTTGATGACGGCGGCGCCGGTCTCCTCCTTGAGGAGGTAGGCGAGCGAGACGTCCTCGCCGCCGTACGAGGCGTTGTCGATTCGCCGCAGCAGCGGCGGCAGCAGGGCCGGCGTGGCGAGACGCCCCACCGCTCGCACCGCCGCGGGAGAGAGTAGGTAGGCGGCGCCTTGCGAGCGAGTCGCCGAAACTTAGCCGAGGCTTGGCAGAAGTGTGGCAGAAGGGGTGTGGCCGAAGGCGTGGGCCAAGGGAAGAGCCGAGACTCGGCCGAGAGGTAGCTGCGGGCGAGAGGACGCGAGCGGCGCCTCCCGCGGCGTGGCAGAGTGCCGGTGAGCCGTGCAATCCGACCGGCGCGTGGGCGCGGCACGCGGCCATGCCGACGAGGTAGGGCGTCTGTCCACAGGCCGAGGTGTGAAGAGACCGAGCTCGCGGACGGCTCAGACGTCGGCCCGAGGCTGGCCCTCAGCCTCACCCGCTCGTACGAGGGAGTGCAGCTCTCGCGCAATCTCGTGCGATCTCCCCCAATCTCAATAATTAATCTCACCCCCTCGTCGACGAGGGAGTGCAGCTCTCGCGCAATCTCGTGCGATCTCCCCCAATCTCAATAATTAATCTCACCCCCTCGTCGACGAGGGAGTGCAGCTCTCGCGCAATCTCGTGCGATCTCCCCCAATCTCAATAATTAATCTCACCCCCTCGTCGACGAGGGAGTGCAGCCCTGGCGCAATCTCGTGCAATCTCCCCCAATCTCAATAATTAATCTCACCCCCTCGTCGACGAGGGAGTGCAGCTCTCGCGCAATCTCGTGCGATCTCCCCCAATCTCAATAATTAATCTCACCCCCTCGTCGACGAGGGAGTGCAGCTCTCGCGCAATCTCGTGCGATCTCCCCCAATCTCAATAATTAATCTCACCCCCTCGTCGACGAGGGAGTGCAGCTCTCGCGCCAGCCGGCGGAGCGAGGTGGGGACCACGACGGTGTCCGGGTCGAACTTGAGGAAGAAGCGGCGGCCGGACGCCTCGCCGTACCGCTCCGCGAGCGCCGCCACGAGGGAAAGGACCCTGCATCCGTTTGGGAGGCGGCGAGCAGGCGGCTGGGCAGGCGGCCGGGGCAGCCGGCCGGGCAGGCGGCTGGGCAGCCGGCCGGGGCAGGCGGCCGGGCAGGCGGCTGGCGGCCGGGCAGGCGGGGACGCAGGATTGGGAGGGCACTGGCCGAGCGTGTGCAGTCTTCCGGCGCTCGCCGGGACACTGGGGCGCATGTCTTTTGCATCTAGCGAGAGCAGCTTAGTGCGCGCGAGCCAGCCCTCGCGCCTGCCGTCGCACGGCGGCCTGGCGCAGCGCCGCCCGCGACAGGTCGAGCAGCGGTGGATGCGGACGGCGACCGCGCCGCGCGTGTCCGGCGCGATCTGCGCGTCGCTTCTCCCGTCGTCGGCGTCGGTGGCGAGGAGTAGCTCCGCACCCCGCGCCAGCTGCAGCCAGCTGTCGGCGGCAGCCTGCAGCAGCGCCGCCGTCGCCTCGTCCTCAAACGTTGCTGCAGCAAAGACGAACTGGCGCCAGCCGACGACGAGAGGCGGGCGGGTGGTGGCGCGAGCCTCCGCGCACCGCGCCGCCGGCCTCGCGCGGTGCCGCACGCACTCGCGCTCCAGGCTGGCAGGGCACGGCACGGGCAGTGCGGCGGCGGCGGCGGCAGTGGTGGCTTTGGTGGGCAGCGTGCCGGACGAGGGCTGGCAGCGGGCCTGCTGCTCGCGCAGGTCGTCAAGCTCGATGCACGCGGCGTTCGCGACCGGCACGACCGCGACCTGCACGCCTGAATCTGGCGACGGCTGCAGTGGCAAAGGCGATGGCGGCGACGGCGGCGGTTCGAGGTGTGCAGCGACCCGTGGCACCACAGGCCCGGCCGCGCCAGTCACTGGCACTGCTCGCGTAGACCTCCACGCGAAGATGAGGCACACGTGAGCGAGGGCGAGGCAGGAGACGGCGGCGAAGGAGAGCCGACGCAGAGCCGGAATGCCAACAAAACAAGAAACCATGCACTGCCTGATGTTCATTATAGCAGGCGGTCTGCTGCTAGGGGAACCCGGAGCGCGGAGCTAACCCTCGGAGACCCGTGTTTACTTTAAGGCCCTTTCCCTGCGAACGCGCACCCCCGGGGCTAGGGCTCTCTTGCCCGCAACCCGACACCGATCATCCGGCCCGCTGGGTGCGCTTCTTAGCTCCTCGGCCCTGGATGTGAGGTTACCGACTGCACTCCAAGTGCTCATTTTTGCAGTGCGCTGGCGAGGTACTTCCAGCCTGCTGTGAAAACAGCTGACGCAGTCTCGCCGAGCCCGAGGCTCGCCCCAGCATCTCGGGTTGACTCGGCCAGACTAAAACCCGAGAGGCGTGGGAGTACCTCGCCAGGCACTGCCCTACAAACACAGGCGCAGAGAAATATAAAGAAAATCATGCGCGAGTGCTCGAAGTGCTCCACACAGCGCAGCCTGCGCTGGGTGCGCTTCATAGCTCCCCGGCCCTGGCATGTGAGGTTGATGACCGCACTCCTAGACCTAGATCCTAGTTGCGCGGTCCCCAAGAGCAGTGCTCCACCGAGCGAGTGCTCCAAGAGATCTACAGATCAAGTGGGCTTTACTAAGATCTAAGTAACTTGTCAAGTCCACAAGATACTAACGCACATCCGCCTCGAGACATCCGCAGACATCACACACACTCACACACACACACACACACACACACACACACACACACACACACACACACACACACACACACACACACACACACACACACACACACACACACACACACACACACACACACACACACACACACACACACACACACACACACACACTGTACATCATGCCACAATGCGCGTCACATCAGCACAACTCATGCGAACCTCGAGACGTACTGCGACTCTCACGTATTGTGGGTGTCCCTCTCACCACAGGGGGTTCGCGTGTGTGTCGTCACCAAGAGTACAGGCGGCAAGCGATGTGTAAAGGCGCCTACCCGAATACCTCCCCCATCCAGGTGAAGAACTGGTCGAGAATATAATGCAGCCATGGCTCCTTTCCTTTTTTCTCTGCAGCACCCTCTCTTTTCCTCTCTATTTTCCCGGGAAAACCATCAAATTTTCCGGGCTCTGAGCCGAGTCTGAGGGTGAGGCTGGTTTGGGCCCAAAATCAGCCAAATCGGCAAAATACCGGGTATTTTGCGGGTATACCTGGAAAACCCCGGGTATACCTGGAAAATATCCTGCGACCGCCTGGGTATCGTGCCGATTTCCTCAATTTTGCGTCAGATTTTGCCCCAGACCAGCTCTCAGACTCAGGGAAACTCGCGAGTTTCCAGAATGGAGCACCAAACACCCTCTGTTTTCCCTGGAAATTTCCGGAAACGCAAAGTGCTGGGGACCCTCTGTTTTCCTTTTTGCTTGCCGGAAAAGCTTGTGCAGGCCAAAGCGACCGCGACCGCGGCCCTCACTCGAGCCCGAACTGCCTATCAGACGTGCCGGAGCCGTCCGACTGTAGCGACTAGCACACCTCTGTCGAGTCCCAGAAACCCGAGGAGTCACACACACAGTCCACGCCTGTGTGATGCACGCCCTGTGAGCGGGGCGGGGTGCGCACTGTGCCTCTGTGTTCGTCGGCGTCGCCCATCTCTCCTGGAGATGACTGCTCTTTTATTTATTTAGACCAAACACACGGACGGACAAAAACATCTTTGCCTCTCACCGATCGGGCCAGGCCGTGCAGGGTGCAGGGGTCCTCCCGGGGTGCTTGGACCTTGGTGCGCGAGGTTGTTCTAGAGTGTTTGTTTGTTTGTTACCTTCTATTCGTTCGCACACGTATATGATGACGACAAGGACAACGGAAAGAAAACTGCGTCGAAGGGGACGGATGGGAGAACGGCACGCCGCCACCACTCAAACATTAACAACAAACATTTTAAGTAAATGAGTCAGGGAAAGAGAGAAAACACTCTGGCAAGCAACCCAGGGTAAAAATTCTTTTTCTGCGGCAAGAGCCCCTCCCGACCCTGGCGAGTAGAGGCCCCGCCCACCCAGGGTACCCTCTGAGGGAGGGTGTAGAGGATGTAGAATGTAGAGCGCTGTAGAGCTGTAGAGCTGTAGAGCGCTCTGGAGCGCTGTAGAGCTGTAGAGCTCTACATCCGCCGCGTGACGAAGCGCCTGCGTTGTAGAGCGATGTAGAGCGCGATTTTGCTGTAGAGTTTGTTGTAGAGGCTCTACAGCCACACACCGCCGGGAAGGCAGTGACTCAAAGAGGTCGAGCCGCGCTAATGGGGTGTCTCCGAGCTTACTGGAGCTCTAGCCAGGAAGAGGGTATGACTCTGACCTGATCCGACCCTGTTCCGACCTTGTTCAAACCTAACAGGGTCGGATCAGGTCGGTGTTCACATAAGGTCGGATCAGGGTCGGATCAGGGTCGGAACAGGTCAGAGTGATACCCGGGTACCCTCCTTTGAGGGCTCTTTCGACGAGGGCTCGCCGTCGCGCTCTGCTCCAAGAGAGAGCGGCGCGGCGTTGCCTCTCCAGTCTCTCTCCAGTCTCTCCAGTCTCCAGTCTCTCCAGTCTCCTCTCCAGTCTCCGCTGGAGGAGTCCTCCGCTGGAGGAGTCCATGTCGAGCCGCGAGGGTCCCATGCAGGTGCCGCCCGAGCCACGTCTCTTCCACACTCTGGCGATGCAAGACATCTCCACCGCGCTCGCGACGCCCGAGGCACTCGACGACTACATGCCTGGCGTTCTCGAAGAGAAGTCGCTGCTCTCCATGACGCACCTGTGGGACGCCTCCACCTGGGCACGGCACAAGAGCAGACACCGCTGGGCGCACATGCTCGTCGCTTGGCCGCACTCGAGCATCCTCCGCGCGATTCGCCTCCCGCTCGGCGTCATCCTCCTCGTCACGCTCGCGGTGCTGCAGATCAACGCCCTTCTGGCCGAGGCAGGCCGCCCGCGCCTCACCCTTCCCCTCGCGCCGCTCTCGCTCCAAGCGTCCTCGCTCGGCCTGCTCCTCGTCTTCCGCAACAATCAGACGCACGAGCGGCTCAAGGAGGCGCAAAAGGCGATGGGCGGGCTGGGCGCGCTCGCCCGGGAGATCATGCAGCTGCTGGTAGTGCACGTGCCTCCGGAGAAGGGGCGCGCCGTCGCCCTCGCCGCGCGGCTGCTCGCGCTCTTTGGCTGGGCGCTCAAGATGCAGTGCCGGAACGAGCCGGAGCGGCTGTACCCGATCGCCGAGGTGCTGCTGCCTCGCGCGCACTCGTGGCTGCTCTCGCGGCCGCACCGGCCGGGCACGGTGCTGCTGCGGCTGCGGGCGGTGGTGGGGGAGCTGCGCAAGGACGGGCTGCTGAGCAGTGACGCGTTCAAGTTCATCGAGGAGCGGCTCGCCAAGCTCTCCGCCGCGGACGCCGCGTGCGTGCGGCTTGCCACCTTCCCGGTGCCGCCGTCGTACCACAGGTGCTGACTCGCGCGCAGCCGCGCTCTGGACTCGGAGCCTTCTCGACACTCGGAAGCCCTCGTCGTAGGCACGGCTCGCGCGCAATCGTCCTCTGGCTCGGCTCGCTGCCCTTCGTGATGGAGGGGCTAGGCTGCCACCCGCTGCAGACGGCGGTGGCGGTGATGTGCACGACCTTCCTTCTGCTCGGCATCGACCAGGCGGCCAGCTCCCACGGCCATGGCCGTGACCTGACTCTCTCTCTCTCGCTCGCTCTCTCTCTCTCTCGCTCTCTGTCTCTCTCTCTCTCTCGTGCCACTCGCTCCAGTTCCGCTCTCTCCTGTAACGCAGATCGCCATCGAGGTTGAGCAGCCGCTCGACGTGCTGCCGCTGCACGAGTTTGCGCGAGGCATGTCCAACGACGTGCACGACGTGCTCGAGGCTTGGACGACCATGCCGGCCGTCCCGCGCGCTTGCGACGACTACTCCGACCTCGGCAAGGAGTCGTACCTCGGCTCGGGACGCTCCTCGTCCGCGCGCGGCTCGACCGCCGCGGTGGACAAGAAGGAGCGGTAGCCGCCCCGCCCGTCCCTGCGACTCCCTCCCGAGCGCGTTCACCGTTCAGTCGGAGTGCACATCTGTTCACTGTTGTCTCGGCGCGGGGGGCGAGGTTGGAGTCGTCGGCGCTGTCTAAATTGAATCTCTGTCGTCTGTGCACGCAACACGGCTCTCTATTTACCGCGTTACAATATATATATGAACAATCCCGCAATAACCAATATCAAATCTCGTGTGTCGTGTTCGTGTGTGAGAGAATCGCGACGAATATATGTCTTTTATATGTGTGCCTACTTGTGTCAGGGGGTAGGAGGGGGCGAAGCCAACCAGTTTAGACCAGTTTAGACCACTGCTAAACACGAACCAGATTAGTCCTGTTTACGATAAACTGGGTCTAAACCTGGTATGTGTAATGCCCCCCCCCCCCCCCCCCCGCAGCGCGCACCTCTCCCCCCCGCCCCAGCTCCCCTCTGTGACGAGAGAGACGCTGAGGGCTCTCAGCGGCACGCGCAAGCGTCAGCGTCCGTACCTCCCCCCATATATTTTCTTGACCAGCTTCTCGGCCGGGAGGGACAGCTCCTGGGCCGGGACGGCCATCTTCTCGGTCGTCATCTGAGCCCGCATCTGGGGTCAGGCCAGACATGGGGGGGGGGGGGGGAGATAGCAGGCGACTGCGCGGCAAGGCTACAAGAACACACCTTGAACGCCGGCTCCATCTTTTCAGCCGCGACGAACGACTCCTCGAGCGCTGGCGCCGGGGCCAGCGCGTGCGTGGCCAGGGTACCGACGAATGCCCCGCGCCCGACGGCATTACTGTTGTGCAAGGGGCGTGCGGTGGGACAGGGCAATGGGTTTGCGCACCAAAAGCGGAGGTGACGACGAGAAGCGTCTTCATGACGCCGCTCTGATTCGTCTCCATCATGGCTGCCTGAGGCCATGCGTTCTAGACATCTGAGCAGGGCGCGCGCAGAACGGGCCCGGACAGCACAAGGCACACCCCGCGCGCGCGAGCAGGCGCGAGCAGGCGCGCGCGAAAGCAGGGTGTGCGCGAGAGCAGGGCGCGCGAGAGAGAGGAGGGCGCGCGAGAGAGAGCAGGCGCGCGCGAGAGCGGGCGCTACACCCGATGTTCGGCGATTTCGGCGGATTCGGCGATTTTCGGCGATTTCGGGAACCCGCACCGCGCTGGTCGAGGTTGTGCATGGCAATCTTGACCGTCTCGAGGGTCCATGCGGCCGCGTCGAGGGACTCTTCCGACAGCTTCGCCGTGTCGAAGATCTGCTTGCAGAAGCCGCCGCGCGTCGCCTCATCTTTCGCGCGGTACGTCGGGAGTGAGGCCGCGCTGGCTGCGGAAGCGGCAGCGTGCAGTCGCCATCCTCTGCCTCGGGCCGGACAGCACACCGGGCACACTTGCACCGCGCAACAACAGCCTCGCCGGTCAGGCGCACGGTGTCGTCGGGCAGCGTGATGATCTTGTCCATGCTGTCCTCGAAGTGCATCAGCAGCCGGTCGTGCTCGCTATTGGTCGGCCAATGGACGATGGTGGCGGGGAACCAGTCCGTGCTCCCATCCTCGTCCCCTGCTCCCACACACGGCTTCGACGCGCGCTGCCCGCCCCGGCGCGCCCAGTCGGGGTGGTCGTGTGCGTGACGTAACACTCTACCGTATGTTGTTTTAGAGGTGCGAGGCTTTGTTCACAAGAGATTTTATTCAAGAGACTTTATTCACATCTCAGCACCGTCCCACCCGGTCACCGTGCGGGGCGGCCGTGCGGCTGTATGATATCATCCCTGCATGTGCATGTGACGGATGTGTGCCGACCCCTGTGTCATACCCTGATCGCTACGGTTTCTCAGCTCTCCGCGACGCGGAGCGCGTGCATCGCGCCCTTGAGCTCCGCCACCTGGTCGAGCGCGTCGCCGAGCAGCCCCTTGGCCACGCCAAAGTCGCGCAGCTGCTCCACGCCGCCGCTCGCCCGCACCTCGGCGGCGTGGTCGGCCACGAAGCGGCGGCACTGCGCGAGGAGCCGTCCGTCGCCCATCGTGCGCGCCGCCTCGAGCAGCGGCACGGCGGTCGCCGGCGCGACGCTCTCCTGCAGCGCCTGCGCGCAGAGCAGCTCGAGGCGCGGCACCTGGTACATCTGCGCCAGCTCCCGCAGGTCGAGCGCGCGCTGCGCCCTGCCCTCCTCCTCGCCGAGGTCGAACTGGTCGGAGAGGAGGTAGTCGACGAGGGCGGTGAAGCTGGCGAGGCCGGTGTGGGCCACCGTGACCTCGGCGGCGTCGCGCTCCTTCATGCCGATGCCAAACATGGTCCGAAAGACCGGGGACCGAGCGCAGAGGTTGTTTTTGCTCACGTGCTCGATGCGCTCCTCGTCGTCGCCGACCAGGAAGGTGACCATGCCCTGCGGGAGGGTGGCGTCGCCCCGCGTCTTTGCGAGGTCAGCCAGAATGGTGGAGGGCGGAACGACGATCGGGGCAAAGGAGGGAGGCGGAGGAGGCGCCGCCACGCAGACCTGGCGGAGGCCACCGTCCGAGGCAACCAACAGCGTGCTGCCGTCTGGGCTGATGTCGACTTCGACTGGTCCGTTGAGCTCCGCCGCGTCGCCCACGCCATCGACGCTGCCACTGGTGCCGCTGCCCGCGAGCGTCGTCACCTCTCCCGTCGCCACCTCCACCCGCCGGATCTTGTCGTTGCCGTAGTTCGCCACAAATAGCGCGCCGCCGTCTGGGCTGATGGCGACGCCACTTGGGTTGTAGAACTGCGCCGCGTCGCCCACGCCATCGGCGCCGCCCTCTTCGCCGCTGCCCGCGAGCGTGGTCACAGCGCCAGTCGCCACCTCCACCCGCCGGATCTTGTGGTTGCTGGAGTCCGCCACAAACAGCGCGCTCCCGTCCGGGCTGATGGAGATGCCATGTGGGAAGTAGAACTCCGCCGCGTCGCCCACGCCATCCGCGTCTCCCTCGTCGCCGCTGCCAGCGATCGTCGTCACCTCGCCAGTCGCAAACTCAACCCGCCGGATCTTGTGGTTGTGGAAGTCCGCCACAAACAGCGCACTACCATTGGGGCTGATGGCGAGGCCAAGTGGGCTGCAGAACTCCGCCGCGTCGCCCACTCCATCCGCGCCGCCTACCTGGCCGCTGCCCGCGAGCGTGGTCACAGCGCCAGTCGCCACCTCCACCCGCCGGATCTTGTTCCTGGTGAAGTCCGCCACAAACAGCGCGCTCCCGTTGGGGCTGGCAGCAACGGTGTAGAAGACTCCACTTGCCGGCAAGGCTGCAACGCGGCGCACGCGCCCGGCCGCCGAGACGTGTAGCAGCGAGTCCTTGGTCGAGACGTACCAGGCGCCAGCGTGGTCGCTCGCGACGCCAACCGGACCGAGCGATGCCAGAGGGCCGTCCTCGCCCTCGAGCGTGAGCGTGGTGACCTGGCCGACGACACGCGCGCCAAAGATGGGTGCCTCGAAGCCATCCGCGACCGGCACGGGCGCGTCCCCGTCCTCGCCGCCGCCGCCGGTGCGGGCGCGCTTGCGGGCGGCGGACGCCATATACACACACATGAAACACAGCTGCGCGCGAACAACAAGGGCTGGATTCGGGACACGGACGTGTGCGGGCGAGCAGGCAAAACACTGACGCAGTCTCGTAGCTTTGCGTATGGCCCCGTTTGTGCCGCGTCTTGTGCCCCCGACGAATGTCTCTTATAAAATGAACTCGGGGCATCGCGCCAGCACGCCTCTCGGTGTGAGTGAGTGAGTGAGTATTCTTGATACGAAACCACGACGACACACACCAGTCGACTCGCATCGGTTGCCTCCATGTACGGCGGGGCTATTCTCGCGCCCACACCACCTGGCTCCAACGTGGACACGCCCATAGCTGGGGACACTACTAGGTTCACGCATGGCATCAGAAGTTTTATCTCTGGGCCCCGAAAGGCATCTCTAGCAGCGTCGTTACGCATGCGCCCTCCCCTCCTGGGCGCATGCGCCTCACATCTCGCCAGAGCATAAGCTCTTGGTGTGCGGCGAGACGAGTTTTTCGCCATCGCAGCGAGCAGCAAGCCACTCGCCGCAGCAGCCGGAGGCATCGCCGCAGCGCTGTCTGCGCCGCGGTCCCGCACCCGTCGACGAAGCTCCCCCCGCGGAAGTCCGCGCGTAGCCACGCCTTGACGATCGAGATGAGCGCGCTCGAAGCTCGCCCACCTACTGCCCCTGAGAGTTGGTTACGAGTGGGATCGGCTCCCCCCCTTGGGATGCATCAAAGCTTCCACGACCTCGCACCCAACATCACAGGCGGGATCAGAGAGAGACTCCACACCGGACACCGCCCAGGCACAGACTCCCTACCCGTCCATCGCACAGGGCCCCCTCGGAGCAGCCCACACACAATCACGCATCGGCAGATTGAGTGCCTGAGTCAGGCAGACAGCACAGACAAGGAGAGGAGAGAGAGAGGAGAGAGAGAGAGAGAGGAGAGAGGAGAGGGTGAGGGAGTGTGCACACGTGAGGAGTGGGAGGGTGTCTGTGGTGGGCTGTAGTCCTACTACGTGGTTACAACCACGCGCCCCTCAGGAGCTTAAGGTTGCTCCCGGCCCAGTGGGGATTTTGGCCTACTCAGTGACCGTCTGTGTAAGGGGCCCTAAATGACCTGCAAGATATCTTTTGTGCCTAGCTTGTAGAGCACCTTAAAAAAGTACTATGTCTTGGAGTGAAAAGTTTTTATTCCCAGATTCTCCAGATCCCCCCTCGAAAACCGCCCCTTTTAATTCACTGCGGCCGCGGCTTTGCTCGGATTACTTTTCACTCGAAGACATAGGTAGTTTTTTGGCGTTCCGGTGCCTACAAAAAATATCCGAGATCGCATGGAGCTGATCACAGGGTTTACGGCGGTCATTGTCCTACCAGCGGGCACAGTGGGCCGCGGACACCCGTGAATGACCTTAAGGTAGAGTGGAGCGCCCGCTAGACGCCTCGGTGCCTCCCACCGGGTGAGACCATCCGGATCTGCCCAGCCCGCCCTCCGGACAAGCTGGTCCCCGCGATGGCCCACGGTCCTCCGCCGCCTGCTTGAACCCCCTGCCTCCCTGTTGACCCCCCCAGTCCTCGTACTCGACCATTAAATAAACTCAAAGGTTCACCACAGCCACCAGCCTCCACCTCCACCGTCGAGCCGCGATCGCTGCCGCCCGCGACGCCGCCCGCCGCGTCAGATGCCCGCGACGCGCGCGTCGACTCGAGTCGGAGAGCCGCGCCACACCAGCAGCAGCATCTGCACCAGCCGCAGCAGCAGCACCAGCAGCAGCAGCAGCAGAGAGAGGCGCCAATTTTGAGGTTGCCTGAGACAGCCCGGAGATGGCCCCGCGTTGTAGCCCCGGTGCCAGCCGGCGCCTCACATCTCAGCCTCGAGGGGCCGGTTCCGCCGCGCAGTCGAGCAGCAGGAGCTCGGGCACAGCTTTGTCGACAAACATGGTGAGGAAAATTTCGGCGAAGAAGCGCCACCGGCGGCACGCCGGGATGAATCCGGACCGATCCCATTGTTCAGAACCGCGACGGCGAGCCGCCGCGGGCCCACAGAAGGGCTGGGAGCCGCGGCACTAGACCGCGCCGCCAGCGGGGCGAGAGCACCAGCCGACAACCTGCCGACATGGCAGTTGCGATGGCGCTTTCACACACACACACACACTACCGCCTTTCGGGTTGACTCGGCCAGATCCCCTGCGAGGCCATGCTCCCCATCAAAAATCTCGTCGCAAACTCCGTCAGCAGTGTTCCTCCGGGAATGTACGTAAGAGCTACATACACTCTTTTCTCCCAGTAAGCTAAAAGTACGTACACTTAAAAACCTGTCAGCACCCTCGGGTGTACGTACTTTTAGCTTACTGGGAGAAAAGAGAGAGGGGGTTGTGTTCTCTAGGCCCCTAAGCTAGGGCCCTATACTCTCTCGTGCGTCGTGGTATGTTCCACAGCCGTACATACACTGAATGAAACGGGGCGAGCCCCCTCCAACCCACCCGCGCTAGGTCTCGGGTTTGACGCATGGGGTCACTCCCGCGAAACTCGTGAACTAGCCGGGGCAGTCGGAGAAGGGGCAACTCCGTGCACTCTCGCTACCCAACGCGGCCAACCAGCGGCCCGCGCGTGGGCCTGCTTTCACACATGCTCCCCAAGCCTTAGCATTCGATATTACAAGATGAGCGGGCGAGGGGGGCAAAGACGCGCGACGCCAAGCGCAGGCAGCGCCTCGCACATGCCATCAGCACGACTCGATTGCCGAGCACCCCCCTCTCTAATCCACTGCCCGCGCCCCGCGCCACACAGGGGAAGGGTGGGTGGTCTGGAGGCCTGGGGCCGCTACACACACACCCTCACCTTGCAGGCCGGCGAGGGCGCGGTCAGCGGGGCCTGGCGGTGCGGCTGGGCGCGCCTCCGCCCGCGCGCCTCCGCCACCGCCTCTACGTGGAGCCTACTCCTTCTGCTTGTGGTGCGAGCGCTGCCACGTGACCACCGTGCCCGAGCGCGCCTGTCAGCAAGGGGGGGGGGGGGGGGGGGCGCCCGGGCGGCGGCCCGGCGGCCCGCCTCGTGGCTAGAAGGGGAGAGGAGGTGCCGCGTAGTCTCGCAGCGCGTCGTCCGAACCGACGAGGTGAGTCCACGGCTCCCACGTCGGGTTCGGCACTTGACCCAGCGGACGAGGGACCGGGAACCACGCACCCGCGCCGTGAAGAGCCGCCGTCCCGGGCGGGGGGGAGAGGGGGAGGGGGGAGGGGAATCGCGGCGGCGGCGCGCGCACTCGAGCGTGCGGCCGGTCCCGCGGTGGCTCACATCTCCCTACATCTCCCCATATCTCCCCATATCTCGCGCACTCGAGCTTGCGGCCGGTCCCGCGGTGGCTCAGGATGGACTCGATCTCGTACGTCACGTCCATGCGCAGCTCCGGCTCTGAGCCGGGAGGGCCGTCCGCGACAGGCACCAGCGACACGACCACGCCGTCGCCCGACTCGTACGCGAGCGTGCCCCCCTCGTAGCTCATCCGGCGCAAGTCCGGCGCCTTCGCGTCCGCCGCCACCGCCGGGTACTCGTCCGCCACCGGCAACTCGAGCGCGGGCCCGGCCGACCACTCGCGCAAGTCGAGCGCCATCAGGTAGCTCGTGTCGCCAAACTCGGCCACTGTCCGCTCGTCCGCCTCCGCCCAATGCCGGTAGCCCGTCCACTCGCCCTCGCGGTTCTCCGCGTACCGCGCCCTCGCGCCCACGCGCCGGAAGCCGATCCGCTCGTAGAAGCCGACGGCGGCGAGCGTCGCCTGGCAGACGGCGAAGTGGTAGTGCCCCTCCGCCTTGAGCCGCTGCAGCGCGTAGCGGACGAGGGTGCCGCCGCCGCCGAGAGAGGCGAGGAGGCCGACCTCGGCGATGCGGGTCCACTGCACCCCGTCCTTTGTCGGGTCGCCGCGCCGCTCCTGCTGCGCGAGAGACGAAGTCAAGCCGAACTGTAGCCGAGCTGTAGCCGAGATACAGCCGAGATTGCGGCCGCTCCTGCTGCGCGAGCAGCGCCGTCAGCGAGCAGTCCTCGTCGAGCTGCCGCAGCCCCGCCGGCTCCGCCGCCTCGCCACGGCCCGCCTTGCCCGCCTTGCCCGCCTTCTTCTTGCCCTTTGGCATCGGCGGCGGCGGCTCGGCGCCGCCGGCGCGCTCCACGCCACGGATCGGCAAGTCGACCTCGCTCTCGCGGTCGCGCAGCAGCAGCGGCTTGCCGTCGAGAGGCGTGTCCGCCTACAGCGAGAATGGGCCGAGATGAGCCGAGTGGAGCCGACACGGCCACCAGCTTGCCGCTCGAGGCGCGAGTCCGCCTCCAGCCCGCCGCTGAACCGCGCGGCGTTGATGGCGAGCAAGTCGTCGAGCGGCAGCCGCGTGCGCGCGGCGACGGTGCGCGGCGTGTCCTTCCGGCTGCAGTCGGCGTCGAGGTCCGCGACGGCGGGGTCGGCGAGCTGGATGCGCGTGCCGTCGAGCAGCTTCGAGCGCGAATTGATGCCCGGGTAGAGGTCCTTGTTCAGGTTGACCAGCTCGGCCACGTCCACGCCGCGCGCCCTCGCGACCTGGACGTGTCTCGGACATGTCACGAGTGTGCTAGGCCGGCACGCCGCGCGCCCTCGCGACCTCCGCCAGCCCCTCGCCGCTGGTGGTGTGGCTCAGCGGGTCGACGCCGTACGGCTCGCCGCTGCGCAGCCGCGCGTTGGACAGCCGCGCCGAAGGCATGCCCGACTCGCGCGAGGACGAGTCCCACGCAAAGTCGGCGCTCCAGGTCGTGAAGCGCGTCAGCGTGACGAAGCCCTGCAGCTGGCCGCTGGCCGCGTGACGCACCTGCCACCCCCACAGCGGGTCGTCCGTGTCGATCCGCTGCGCGATGTACGCCACCGGCATCGGCGCCTACGGCTCGCACGGCGCCTCTTTCCCCAGCCGCGAAGGGGCGGGCAACGCCCTCGACGAAGCGCCGGGCGAGGCAGCAGCGCGAGCGCATCCGCGTGACGGCGCGTCGCCTCGTCGCCGATGGCCATCAGCTCGCCGAGGGCGAGGAACCTACGGACGGGGGTCCGGGAACCGCCTCCCGGCCATCTCCCCCGCCGCGGTCGACGCTCCGAGAAGGCTCGGGGAACCACTCGACGCGGTCGTGCGGCGCGACAAGCAGCGACCCCTCCAGCCCGCGGGCCGCAGCCTCGACGCGCCGCGCATCGTACCGCGCGGCCGCAGGGACGCGCTCCGCCGCGGCCGCCCAGAAGGCTCGCGTGTCGGGGAGATGCAGCGTGGTGGCGGCGGGTAAGGCGGCGGCGGAGGCGGAGGCGGAGGCGGAGGCGGAGGAGGAGGAGGCGGCGGGGTGCGGCCCCGCGCGCCCCTTCTTGGCGCGCGGCTTGTCTCTGCGCGGGTCGCTGCGGCGGGGCTTGGGCGCGTCGGAGGCGGGCCTACAAGGGATGCCCCGCGAGAGGCTTCGGGGAGGGAGGACAGAGACGGCCGGCTTGGCCGGTGAGAGGCGGGGCCGGCGCGCGGCGGCGGCGGCGGCGGCGGCCTCTCCCGACTTGCGGAACTTTTCCCACCGCGCCTGCAGCTCCGGCCAGAGCTCGTGCTTCCACTTGCACGAGCGGCCTGTGCACACGCATGCGCGTGAACCGACGGTCACCACAGCTCGCGCCTCCGCCCGCACGAGGCCGCCTTTGTGGCAGCGTCCCTGCTGGTATCGCTTGCAGAGCCCTGCGCGAGCAACGAGAGGCGAGACGCGTGGGCTTGGGGCGTGTGCGGCGGGGCGGTGGGAGGTGCGAGCGCGGGCTCGATGCCGTCGAGGGGGTGGATGTGCGGCGGGTGCGGGAGGCGCAAGGAGTCCCGCCTCTCGGAAGTGTCTCTGCACCGGCGGGCAGGTTCTCGGAAGTGTCTCGGAAGTGTCTCTACCGGCTGGCAGATTCGCGAGCTCCGCATCGGTCGGAGGTGGAGGCCGGTCAGGCCTGCTGCGAGGGGGGGGAGGGCGGCGAGGTGAGGGAGGCGCGAGTGTGGTCGGGAGAGGAGCCGCCGGGGCGGGGGGGCGGGAGGAGGCAGGAGCGGGTGAGGCGGGGGGGGGGCGGGGCGGGGGCCGGGGGGGGGGGGGGGCTGCAGCAAACCTGCCGGGCCTGCTCGCTGGCATCAGCGGCCTCGGCGCCGGCTTGGCAGCCTCTCGGAGGGCGGTCAGCTTGCGCTGGACGGTGGCGGCGTCCCAGCCCTTCTCGAGCGCGCGGCCGGCGCGCCGCCAGTCCTTGCCCTCCTCGAGCCACGTGAACCAGTCCGTCCACTCGTCGTGCTGCGCACCACTCGTCACGCGGATCAGCGCCGAGAACCAGCCGTCGGCGAGCACCGAGGCGACGGTGGCGGTGATCCAGCGCGCGATGCGGTCGCCGTCGCGCAGCACCTCCACCTCGATCCGCTCGCCCTCGCGCGGCCACACCCAGTCGGACGGCGGCGGCACCGCCTCGCGCGCGCTCGACGCTGCGGCGGGCGGCCTCTCCGCCAGAGGCTGCGACGGGAGCGGCGGCTGGTTGAAGTCACCGATCTCGACTAGAGCGCGCGGGACCTTGCGCGGCGCCTCCGAAGGCGCCGCGGGCTCAGGCCGTCGCTTCGTGCGGCTCATGACGATCTAGACGCTACTCAAAACGTGATGAAGCAAAAAAAAAGAGAGGGCGCCGGGTTTGTAAACGAAGGCGCTCTCAAAAAAAACCGACCGTGAGCTAATCGCACTCGTGCTCCAAGTGCACGCCGACACCCCGCCGCCCGCCCCCCCCTCGCATTGCTCCGCTTGCATTTATCCGATTATCCCGAGCTGGCCAGGCAGGGAGACCCGCTCGGCAGGGTGCACCTACCTTTGCTGCGCATACATGGGCTGTGCGCAGAGCACCGAGGGCGTGTCGCCGGCCGTCTCGCTCGCCCAGACGTATGAGCGGCTCGCCCTCGACGGCTGGACCGATGAGGACCTGACTGCGTTCATCGGCGCAGTCTCCGCGCAAGGCAAGCTTCCAGAGTACGACCAGATATTGGCCGCAGCCAAGCACCCCTCGCTGCCAGAGGAGGACCACACGGGCGCCGCCTTCTTCGACGCTCTCGCCTGGTACACCGACAAGACCGTCATCCGCCGTCTGGACGGGCAGCTCACGCTCGCAGATGTTGACGCGGCGGTCGACCTGTGGGCGAGGCAGTACGCGGACGCTGCGACCCAGGGCGGTGACGCCACTGGCCGGCGGCAAAAATGGAAGCTGCTCCAGAAGCTCAAGCTGATCGAGCGCGAGATCAAGGGCCGCGCCGCCGCCGGGCAAGGCTCCTTCTACCCCTATTCGCCGCACGAGCTGAATCAGGTGGACGCGTCGAAGCCGTGGAATGAGGCGAACACCATCGACACGGCCGAGGAGTTTGAGGCGCGCGTCATCGCGGGATCGTACGCTCAGCCCGTGCTCGTGAAATACGGGCTTCCGTACTGCGCGCACTGCCTGCTGCTTGAGCACCTCGGGTCGGTGCCAGCCGCCGCAGAAAAGTACAGAGGAAAGGTGGACGTGGTGAAGCTTTGGTGGGATCCGCACGATCCCGCGAAGGCCGACATCACCGCCGTCGCGAGGGCGCAAGGCGTCACGAGCAGCCCGTTCTTTATGGTGTACAGCGCGGGGAAGGTGGTGGCCCAAGGCTACGCCTTCCCTGACGAGAATGGGGACGGCCTCGAGGACTTGCTCGCGGGGGTGGTGTGATCTAGGGTGTGATCGGAATCTTGTGGTTGTGCCTTTTCTTCATGTGTCCTCACGGTCACGCACAGTCTTTCACGTGCCTAAAGCGCCGTATTCGCCACCTGCGAAGGTAAGGTAAGGCGTGTACTCGAGTAAGGTAATCTTCTCCACACACACGAGGTGGTGGGGCAAGGGGGGGCGACGACCCTCGCGTCTCCACGACCACGTCTAGAGACGACAGGAGAGATTTTTAGAAGCCAACAAGAAATGTGTCACACAGAGCACCACGGATTAAAAGTGCAAGGCCCGGTGCGCGTGGGTGAGGTGTGTGTGTGTGTGTGTAGGTAGGAGAGAGGAAAGGTGAAGAACAGCCAGGCTCGGACTGGACACCAACGCGGTATGGGTGGACGCTGGACAGATGATGACGACACGCACGAGCGACACACAGACACAAACAGGCTCACAGGACACACAGCCATCTGGCTGCCACACACCCTGAGTCGGCGTACACATAACTCAGGGCCACATCCTCCCTCGCTCCCTGTCGCCCCCCCCAGCACTCCACGGTGCCAAGGGCACAAACAAGGGCACAACTCAAACAACAGACGACAGGAAGTGAAATGTGAGGCTAGAGCAGCTTGCTCCACCTCTATGTGTGTGTGTGTGTGTGTGCGCGCGCGCGGGTTATGCAGCAATTCTCTTTGGTCTCCGCCGCTTCATGCAACACCAGCGCGCATTGCCAGGCCCAGAGTGGCCGCCGGGCACCGTCTCCGCCGCCACGCTACCACTGCCCGCCGCATGTGGCAAGCACACCGCGCTGCGCTGCCATGTCGCTGGAGAGGTGGTGGCTGCCTCGTCAAAGTCCAAGCGGCTGCTCTTCTTCTCGGTCCGCGAGGCACCCGACGAGAACGGCGGTGGCGGCGGCGTCAACGGCGGCGGCGGTGGCGGTGGCGGCGAGAGTTACGGCACGAGCGGTGGCGCGAATGGCGGTGCGGCGGCGCCCGCACCTTGGATGTGCCTCGCAAAGGCCGCGGACGGCTTCCTGTCGGCCGAGCAGATTGCGGAGCTGGCTGCGCGGCTGCAGCGCGGCACCACCATCTGCCTGCTCGCCTACCCCGAGCTGGCGGCGGCGGCGGGAGGAGAGGCGGCGACCGCCGTAGCCGGCGATGCAGCCGTGGCGCGAAGGGCTTCCGACGGCCGCGAGATCTGGCGAGGCCGGTCTCGGCTGTGACGTCAAAGGCGCACGTCCGTCACGGCCGCACTCTGCGCGCAGGTTGCACGTCGTCTCTTACTACGTCGGGAAGGCGCACGGGGCCGTGCTGCAAGAGCCTCTCTCCTCCGCCTGCTCTCTACTGCCGCCGCCCGCAGCAGCTCCGGGCTGCGGCGCAGGCGAGGAGAGAGGCGGGGGAGGAGGCGACAACGGCGGCGATAGTGGCGGCGGTGGCGACGGCGGAGGTGGCGGAGGCGGCGGAGGCGGCGGCGGCGAGGGCGGCCGCCGTGCGCAGAAGAAGCTGACGGGCGAGGGCCCGGCCCGCGTGCGGCCAAAGAACGGCGCGCGACACCAGGTGCTTCACCGCTGCTGCACCTCGGCTGCACCTCGGCTGCACCTCGGCTGCACCTCGGCTGCACCTCACACAGTCGGAGTGCGGGCGCCAGGTGTTTGTCGGCTGGCTCGTGCGCACTTTTGGGCAGGAGCGGCTGCAGGCGCGGGGTGATGGGTGGGGCTGGGTGGGGAGGGAGGGGTGGGGAGGGAGGGGTGGGGAGGGAGGGGCGGGAGGATCGACGTGGCGGGCCCCTGTGCTCATCCGCTCCTCTCGGCTCCTCTCGCTTACAGGCGGGAGGTGTGTTGGACGTGGCGGGCGGCGCCGGCTGCACCGCTTTCGAGCTCACCTTCAGCCGCTCGATCCCGACCACCGTGGTGGACCCGCGGCCAATCAAGGCGAGAGGCGGCCGAGGGGCGGCCGAGATGCAGCGCAGTCTGACGCAGCCGAGACGTACAGCCCACGAGATGCAGCGCGAGATGCAGCGCGAGAAGCAGCCGAGCAGCCGCGGCCGACCTATCGACCGCAGGCGAACGCGCGGCAGCGGCGCGCGCTTCGATGCCGCCGCCGCTACCACGAGTCGCTCGAGCAGCTGCACACCGCCGCCACTGAGGACGGTGGCGCGTCGGAGGCGCTTGAGGCAGAGGCGGCGGCGGCAGAGGCGGCGGCGGCTGAGGCGGCGGCGGGGACGGCGGCGGCGGCGGGGACGGCGGCGGCGGCGGGGGCGGCAGAGCTTGCGCCATCGCCGGATGGGGCAGCGGGTTCGCCGGCGGCAGCGGTGGGGTGCACGGTGGCGGGCGGGATCGTCGCCGCCGCCCGCGCAGCGCCCACATTGGCCGCCGCGCTGTTGCTCGCGGGCGGCGTTGCCGCGGCTGCTGCGAGGACGGTCGTGGGCGGCGGCGGCGGCGGCGGAGATGGCTGCGGCAGGGGCGGCGGTGGCGAAGCCGACGCTGGTAGCGGCGGCGGTGGCGGTGGTGGCGGGATCGGCGGCGGCGACGATGTGGGTAGCAGTAGCGGTGGTAGCGGTCACTCCGGCGGCGGCGGGAGCGGCGGCGGCGGCGGCGACGGGTGGGAGGGTTCGGCGGCAGCGGCGCTGGAGGCGCTGGCGGAGGCTGAGGGGATGGCGGGGCGGGCGATGCTGCCACGGCACCGAGCCCCCGTGCGCGTCGCCGCACAGCTCTCTGCCTACGCGCGCTGACACGTCCTCCACGCGTCGCCGCAGGCAGCATCTCCGGCTCTTTGACGAAACTTGCACAACGAGCTGGTTGGCGCCGCTCTGGCGGCGCGCGTCGGTCGTGATCGGCGCCCGCAGAGAGCTGAGATCCCGCCGAGATGAGTCCGAGATGCATCGGAGACGTATCGGGCGGCGCCTCTATCGTGGCTGGCACCCGCCCCACCCGCCCGGCTGGCACCACTCGTGGACGCGTCCCCGACACGTCCCCTCGACACCGTCCGCAGGCATGCACCCCGACGAGGCGACCGAGCCGATCGTGGACGCGGCGCTCGCCGACGGCAAGCCCTTCGCCATTCTGCCCTGCTGCGTCTTTCCAAAGGCCGCCCGCCCGGACACGACCCCTCCCACACGTCCCCCTCGACGAATGCCCTGACGCAAGTCCCGCCTTCCCGCACCCCTTCGCGTGTCCCTGACGCGTCCCCTGCCGCCCCCTCTCCAACAGGCCAACCCGCACCGGAGGACGGCGGTCGGGCTGCCCGTCATCTCGTACGAGCAGTACCTCGACTACCTGCAGGCCAAGCACCCCGCCATCCGGCGCGCGCGCCTGGCAAAGTTTGAGGGGCGCAACGTGGTGCTCTGGTACGACCCTCTCGTGCCTTACTGCGAGCCGTGCGAGGAGTGAGATCTGAAAACCACGGTGAAAAAGCGGCCGCTTTTGTATGACGTGTTTAAGAAGCGGAGAGAGCAACTCTCTCGAGTACACCGCGGTGCGTGTGCACATCCTCCGACCTCCCGCCCACAGAGCTCGCTTCTGACTCGGCACACTTCAGGGGGCAATCTCAAGAACCGAGCAACCTGCCTCCTCCCCCCTCCTCATCCTCCCCCTCCCCGCCAAAGAGGCCCCACTCCACAACCTCGAGCGTCGCGACTAGCTCCGCCAGCGGCGGCGCCTCAGCCCCACCCGCCGCGACACGGCCATGCAGCGAAAACACGACGTCCGTGTCGCAGCCTGGCAACCTCACGACGACCACCTCCGCATCGCATGCGCCAAAAACGGCTGCGGTGGCGCTCACCCCTGCGCCGCCCTCCGTTCGCACCTTGTCAGGCAGGACGGTGGCCTCGCCCGCCAGCGGCGGGAGCGCGTCCGCCTGCGGGGACATGCCGTGGGCGTGTCATGGAACGTGCCATGGACACGAGCCGTCACGCGAGCGCAAGCGCGTCCGCCTCTGCGTCGCGCTCGTCCCTCCGGAGAATCTCGAGGAGGTGGAAGTGGGGGAGCGCTGCGACCTCCTCCACCTCCGCAGCGAGCTCCAGGATATCGATGAACAGGGCGACCTACTCAAACACGACTCGAGGTGGGACGCTGCGCACACGGATTGCTCGAAGATGCCCACGATGGTCGCCGGCTGCCGCGCCGCCTCCGGCCGCTCGCCCGCCTCGCCGCGGGGCGCCACAAAGATCTCCTGGTTGTCGGGCACCTGTTCACGGATGCGTGAGCCTGAAGAGACGCAAGCCTCGCGCGAGAGGAGCCCCTCGACTGTCTTGCCGCGCCGGCCGCCGCACAATGTCCATGAAGGCCTCAGTGTCGAGCCAACCCTCGGGCACGGCGAGGCGCATCGCGCCGCCAAACAAGTCACGCGGCACCAAGCGGCGGGGCGGCGCAGCCTCACCGATGCTCAGCCCCTCTCCCGCCAGCTCCTCCGCCAGCGCGGCGACGTCCGGTCCGCCGCTCGAGCCGCTCACCAGCGGGGACCTCGGTGGCGAGGGTGCCGGCGACCGCGACGGCGGCGACCGCGGCGGCGGCGGCGAAGGCGGCGGCGAAAGCGGCGGCGACGACGGCGGGGGCGACACGTGCGCGCGACGCGGCTGCGCACGGGCGATCTGGTCCGCCGCCTCGCCCGCCGCCCACCGCCCCGCCTCCCCCGCCGCCTCGCCGAGCCGCAGCGACAGCCACCCTCCGCCCGGCGCGACGAAGAAGTTGTGTAGCTCCTTGAGCAAGCTGCGAGGCAGGTGGGCGGCGGGGTGTGTGCCCTGCAGCAGCGCCACGACGGCACGCACCTCCTCCTTGCTCGCGCACCGCCGACCGCCCATCGGAGGGGCGGGTCGCCTTAGCCTGGCACACCCCGGCTCGAAGAGAGCGAGCAGCGCCGCCGCAGCGACAGCCACGGAGCGGTCGTCGCCGCGCTCGCAGCAGATGAGCACGCGCCGGCCCTGAGTGAGGTGGGAGTGGACATACTGCAGCGAGCGAGGCAGCACCTCCCTCTGCCACCAGTCCTTGCTCGGCTGCGCGCGCTTGCTCTTCCCCGCCCCTTCGTCCGCAACGGGCACGTGCAAGTACGGCAGCGAGGGTGGTGGCGGAGGCGGCGGAGGCGGGACCGGCGGTGGTGGCGGAGAGAGTGGCGATTGGGGGATGGTCGGTGGCGGCGGCGAGTGCGGCGACGAAGACGGAGCCGGGCAGCCGATGCCGATGCCGAGGGCCGCCAGCGTCTGTTGGGCCTGACGCTCCATGCGGCGAGTGTAGCCAGCGTCGCCAGCGTCCTCCGCCTCCGCGCTGCGCCGGCGGCCGACGTGGAGAGCCGCCGGCGCCGGCTCAGCGCTAGCGGCGCGCGAGGAGGGAGCGGTCGCCGCCGCGACGGAGGAGGCCTCGCTGCCTCGCCTCGCCTCCCTCTCGCCGCCTCGCGGCTCACCTGCGGGGAGAACCTCGCCGTCGCCTCGCACCGGCGCCGCCGGATTCAGCGCAGCGCCGACGTCGAGGACGGCGTCGGCGAGGCCACCCAGCACCTCCGGCGCGGCGGCGGCGGCGCGGCTCGCGAGGAGGAGCCCGCTCTGCCAGAGGGCGGTCGGGGGTGGGGGCGGCTCGTCTGGCGCCTCCTCCTGCTCCCTAGCCAACAGCGAAGAGAGCAACTCCTCTGCGGCGGCGTGGTCCCGAGCTGCGCACGCGGCCAGCTCGCCCCGCCACCGCCACCACTGCTCCGACCGCAGCCCGCGCGCCCAGTTCTCCTCGTCGTCCGCGGCGCCTTGCACGTACGTGTACGAGGACCGCTCTCTCGCCTGCTGAGGCGAGCAAGCCTCCGACGCGCACACGCAATGCACCCACGCGAACCTCCGCCCCTCCGCCGCCGCCGCCGCCGCCGCCGCCGCCGCCGCCGCCACGTACGCAGCGACCGCCCCCTCCGTCGCGGCGGCGGCGACGGCGCAGCCCCCGTCCGGAGGAGGGGGCGGACAGAGCCAGCCCGGCCGCAGCGGCGCGTCCAGCGCGCGCGCGAAGCCGGCGAGGACGGCCGCCATCGCCGGACGCCGTAGCGCCGCCACCCACCCGCCGATCCGCGCCTCGATCTGCGACGCCTCGGACGGAGGCACCTGCGGACGCGTCGTGGACGCGTCACAGCAGGCGAAGGGAGGTGTCTTGCAGATGTCCGAGAGGCGTCTCGCAGGTGCGTGTGTGTCGCTCACCCACGGCGGCAGGTGCAGGTCCGTGTCCCAGTCCGCGCGGCGGTCGGCGGACAGCTCTGCGCAGGCGCGGTTCACGACGCAGCACCAGATCGGCACCGTCTTGCTCAGGCTGTCGGGGAACCGCTTCCCGCTCCGCGTCGAGTCGACGACCATCGCGCCGCCGTGCGCAGAGGCGGCAAGAGCGACCTGCGAGGTGAGGTGCGGCGGTGGCGAAGGGTGGCGGTGGCAAAGGGTGGCGCTGTGGCGAGATTTCCGCGGGCGTGAGCGGTCAGAGGCGGCAGGGACGGTGGTGGAGGGAGCCGCGAGGCGAGGTGGCGGCGGTGAGGTGGCGAGGTGGCAGCGTGGTGGCGGGTGAGCCAGCAGTTGACGATCCACCTGCATGTTGATGCGGGAGAGCGAGAAGGCCCAGCCGCCAGCGTGCCCGTCGGTGGACTTGAAGTAGCAATTGCCTGCCGACAACGCTTGATCGACGTACCACACGCCGCAGCGCAGGTTGGCGAGCAGCGCAGGCTTGCCGAGCGCCGCGTGGGCGCCGGCGACGAAATTGGCGTCGTGGTCGATGGAGCGGAGGTGGGCAATGCGGTCGGCCCGCCGCTCCTTGTGGAGCGTGCGCAGCACGCGGGAGATCGACAGCGTGGCGTCGTCGAACATCGTACTAAAAAAATAACCCCGCGCACGCAGCGGAGCAGGGAAAAGGACCGCCGCAAGCGGCGTGGCGTGGGGCGGTTGAGCATCCCTCCGGGGGCCCCTCTGCGCCGGGGAGGCGTTGTTGGAGGCTAGGACGCAAGCGTCCGTCGCCCTTTTCAAACTCGGGGCCCACTCCGCTACGGCCTACGCTCCGACCCGAATTTGGAGGGCCTAAAAGTTTAAGGTGTTGCTGCGCAAAAGGGGTCGGACACAGGGCGCAGCTCATGCTAAGAGCCAGAAAGAAGGGGAGCTAGAGAGAACGACTATACCCTGTCCCGTTATTGCGTACACCAGCACCACTTTTTAGCTCTCTCTCTCCTGTCCTCACTCAGGGGGGTCACAACTACCGAGTCCCTCGACTAGCTGCCACGTTGCCGACCGAGAGCGGATCTCCTCCTGCTCCGCAAGGAGGGTGGCCAAGGCTAAAGCCTTGCCGGAGCCGCCGGGCGCGTTGACGACTTGGAGAAGGTCGCCCTTCTACTTGTACTTGTAGAGATGCTCGAGGGGGTGCTTTGTGGGGCGGTGCGCAGCCAGGCCAGCAGTGAGGGGAGGCGCACCCTCACTCTCCTCGGTTGCAGAGCTCGTCGGAGGCTGCGGCACGACGGGAGGGTCGCGATAGCAGTCCTCGGGCGAGCCGACGCGCATGTCCAACCAGCGCTGGGACTCGTTGTGACGGCAGACGCCGGCTGCCTCTCACACCGCTTCTGCAGCGTCCTTCTTTGCCCGGTGCATGGGCTCCGATTCCGCAGCGTGTCGTCCCCAGCGGCGGTGCTGCGCGGGAGGCGGCCGCGGGCACGCTGGGCTCGGATCAGCGGCTTTCCCTCAGTTGCTCCCAAAGCACGAAAGCACGGATTTGGCGGACGTTCTTGGCTTCAATTTTAGAGAGATTTTTATTAACCAACAAGAAATCACGACTCTCACAGTTTTACGGATGTGTTCGCACCAGCTGAAGGCTTGCCCGGCGCACATCACGCAGTTCGTGCACGGTATTCGGATTTTGCTATTTGCTCGTGTGGGGGTATATTGCAGATTTGTCAATGGTACCGCGTCTGCGACGCGGGCGCCTTGCGAGCAGAGCCCTTAGGACACCCTTTATATCTTGCGCGGTCAAAAAAGCTACACTCACACGGTCTATTGCAGAGACAAGGAGGGCCTACAGCACACACACCAAGAGTACATGTGCTGCACTGGACATCAGAGGGCCAAGGGTTGGATCAAGCAGTGGGAAGGTCGAGGTGACGGTGCGAGCAGAGACCTACACCTCCACGCGCTCCTCCCACTTGATCGCAGGAGCAGCCGCAGGTGCCGCAGCCTTGTGCTGCCAGAAGTTCTCGAGCCGGCGCGCGCGGCTGGCCTTGCCGCCGCGCGCACGCCGCTTTGGCGCCGCGGGAGCAATCTTGTTGCTCACCGTCAGCACGCCGCACGCCTCCTCAGAGGCCTTGCCCACCTCTCCAGATGTTGCGTCTTGCGAGGACGCCACCTTAGCAGCAGTACTCCCGTGACGAAAAACGACCAGCGCACCGGGCGCCTGCCCGAGAATACGCGAGTTCGAAAACCGTAGGAGGCATCTAGAGCAAAATTGAGCCCGCTCAGATGTAGAAAATATATTCTACGGTCAACCTGCCGATTTCGAACCGGAGGCCACTCGATCGACGAGGGGTCATCGGCCGACGTCAGCAGAATAGGTCGAACGTTCGAGCGGCGGCCCATACCCGTAGAACATTCCCTCAGAAGACAAAGAAAGTCGTCGCACCCCCATCCTTGCGCAGTGTCCCCCGCTATGTGCCGCCGTAATCGGGGCACGCTATCCTGTGCAGTCAGGGCAAGCGGGGGCGAGGGGCAGTCCCATCTCTCCTGTGTACGGGTGGGTTCTGTCTCCAGTCTCGGAGGGGGGCAAGAAGGTAAGAATATCTTATTTTTTGCGAGGACGCCACCCGGCATGGCCGGTCCTGTCGTGGCGTGGAGCCTTGATGACGCTGCGACCGCGCGTGCAAGCACACGAGCCCAGGATCGTGCGTGAGCACGCTCGCAAGGCGGACGGTATGGCAAGGCCAGCTCCGTGGCCGTGGGCTCAGCGAAGAGTACACCCATTCAAGGCACAAGGGTCCAAAACACCGAAAATTTGCTAACAGGCGCGGCCGCCGCCGCAGTCAAATTCTATTGTGTGTCCTCGACCCAGCCCTAAATAAATAAATAAACAAAGTGTAGTGGAAAATCCAAAATCCAAATCGCAAATATAGAAATCCAAACACACACAGCCACGTGGAATAGGAGAGCAGGAGGTGAAAGGAGGTCAACAAGTTTTCCAAGGACGCACGAGCGAGAAGCACAGCAGAGCAGACAGATGACGATCACCACCCAGCGCACGACCGCCATGCGCCAACTCTCCGGCGCAGGCCGCGAAGAACCGAGTCCGGGGGCCGACGGTCGCGGCGCGCCGGCGCGGCGCAGTGGACGCAGAATAAAAACTGACACCTCTCTACTGTGAGATGGGTAAAAAGGCGGAACAGGTCCGACCCAGCCCTAGCTTGGGATGTCCGTTTTATTTATTTATTCAAATTCACTTTCTTTGGCGGCGGGCAAGGGATTTCAGGCTTTAGACAATATTCAAACGCGAGATGCCTTGATGCATAATACGGATACGTAATGGCTAATGCGTAGTCCATAGCCCTCCCACGTGCAGGCGCCGCTGAGTGATGCATAATACGGATACGTAATGCGTAGTCCATAGCCCTCTCCGGCGGGCTTTCGGCGCTTGATGCATAATACGGATACGTAATGCGTAGTCCATAGCCCTCTCCGGCGGGCTTTCGGCGCTTGATACATAATACGGATACGTAATGCGTAGTCCACATAGCCCTCCCACGTGCAGGCGCCGCTGAGTGATGCATAATACGGATACGTAATGCATAGCTCATAGCGCCAATGCGACATCGGCAGCGCTGTTTGCTGAGACATAAAGGCGAAAACATCGTACGTATTGCATAAGACACGCTATGGACTATGCATTCGCGCGACGTCTAACCCTGCCAATGCATAGGTAGGACACACGGGTGCATATAGGGCCGGTACGTATACATAGCAGTACGGCCCACGTCTCTCGTTTCCCCCCCTAGAATACGCCTGTGGTGCGCCCCGTGTGGCACCCCGACCTGTTGTCTCACCCTGGCCCCCAAGATCGTTTTGGTCGTCACGTTGTGACCCCCGACGTCGTCAAATGTCGCTCGCCTGTCCTTCCCCCCGTTCTCGTCTGGTAATCTCATCTTATTATCCCACGCATCGATGCTTTAGGCTGGCTACAGCCACTTCGCTCCACAACCGTCCCGCCACCCCTGCCGTGTGCGTTCCCGGCCTCACCGTCTTTCGATATTGCTCGCACACCCACTCGTGCGCGCTCTTACACATGTGTCCGTACGTCCGTCGGTCCACTATCTCCCTCTTCTCTGTGTTCCCTGCCGCCTCCCTTCGCACCGTGTACATGCATGGCCGCGTGTCAGACCTGCTCCCCGAGTGCAGCGCAGCAAACTTTTTTACCGCCCAATAAAAGAAACCGAAGTTACTCGCTTAGTGTGGGTAAACCATAGTAGCGTATACGCTACTATGAACAGAGAAACCCATAAGGATCGCCTGCAGTCCACGACGAGCCAGCCTGCTGCCGGCTCGCACGGCAGCCTCTTCCTCTCGACCAGCCTCAACTTCCATACAGTCAACATTTTGTCGCTGCGTGCTCGTGGCGAGCTGTGGCGGCGGTCGAAGTTGGCCCAGATTCGACGACGAGCGCCGGACGATAGTAGTGTCTCTGTTCGCCCTGTGCATGTCAGGCCAGGCTGCAGCAGGGCACTACCATCGTGCTGCCCTGCTGCAGCCTGACTTTGCCCACTGTGCACAGCCGCCAGAGCATCACCACCGCCCGGCATCGTGTCACGGCGAGCTTCTTCTGCGCCCGCTCGCGAGGCTCTCGCGCTGGTACACTTTGGCCATCTGCTGCTCGCGTTCGGCGAGCTCTTCTCCGCACTCCTGCCACGGTGCCGTCACCACACACCTTCTGGCCGGCCTGAGCCGCGCGGACTCGCCGGCGGGGGCAACGTGTCGACCTCTCTCTCTGGTGCACCACGGGCCGCGACGGCCTGCTAGCAGCCGGCGCGAGGAGGCAGTGTGCCGGCACAGTCGAGCCGGAGCATCGGGTTCTTGATGCTTGTGGGGTCAAGTTTGACCTTATGTGGCATAATATGCAACAATAAGGCTATGCTGTCTCCCGGCTTTTTGAGATATGATCCCTCAAAGTCGAATTATGGTTTACTGGTGACCATAGTAGCGTCTGTCCTGTTTGCGTTTCTTCACACGAATACTTTAAAGTCTCGACAATCGCTAAGCTGCTTATGTGGCACCGCAGCGGCTCCCTTGGGGATGCCTGAGGCCACCCCAACCACTCACCAAGCCTTACGTGGACGAATTCAAACCTACTTTTATGGTTTACCTACATTTAGGGAGTACGTCGCCAGGCTCTTCCCACCCGCCGTCTCCCTCGCCGCCCGCACCGATGGCGTCCCACCGCATCGGCGCGCGCGTCGCGGGCCTCTCGCCAGCGCAGCTGTGCGCCATCATCGAGGCGCAGGCGGACGCGAGCGACGCCGCGCTGCGCGTGGCGGAGGAGCACGCCGCACGGCTCGTGGAGCAGCCCGAGTGGGTGCTCTCCGAGGTCCTCCTCTCGCCGGACCTCGCCCCGCACATCCTCGCCCAGCTGCCGACCAAGGCGCACGCCGTCAAGGGGACGTGCCGCGCGTGGCGCCGCGGCTGGAAGGAGACGCTGAAGAAGCGCGAGAGGCCGCGCCTGTTCGTGTTCGGCGGCCAAGACAGCGAGCGTGGGACTGTCAACTCGATTGAGAGGTACGACCCGTCAACGAATGCGTGGGAGGAGGAGGCTGTGGTGCCGATGTCTACAGCACGAACGCATGTCCGCACGGCGG